CATCTTGATGGGGCGGACGAGGCCGCGGAGGAGGACCTGGGAAGTGGATTTCGGTGCGGTGCCCGGGGCGGTGTCGTCGTAGACGCTCCGGAGCTCGGGCCGGTTCAGTTCCTTGCGGAGGCGGGCGACTTTGCGGTCGATGAGGACGCGGGGGTTGGTCTCCTGGTTGAAGATGGCGATGACGAGGGCCATTGGCGTGGCGGCGATGAAGGCGATCCACGAGCACCAGCGCCAGCCAACGTCCTGGGCGACAAAAGCACCGACAATGGGTGCGATTGTCGGGCCGATGAGGGGCCCTATCATCCAGATGGAAATTGCGGTGCCGCGCTCGGCGATGGGGACCATGTCCGCGATGACGCCGCCGCCGATGGCGAGGCAGCCGGAGCCGCCCATACCTGTGAGGAAGCGGAAGACGATGAGGGAGTCGAGCGTGGGCGCGAGGGCACAGCCTATGAGCCAGGCGCAGAAGAAGAAGTTTGCGGCCGTGAGGACGGGGCGGCGGCCGTACATTTCGGAAAGGGGCGCCAGAATCAAGGGGCCGACGGCGTAGCCCAGGAGATAAATGCTCACTGGCAACGTTCCCAGTGTGAGGTCGGCATTGTCGTAGTCTTCATTGAGATACTCGATGGCAGGCGCGAGAATCGAGGACGCAAAGGGGGTCATGAAGGTGATGCCGGCCAGGAACCAGATGATGATCCACTTGCGGCGCCGGGGGAAGTTCATGGGCATAGCCGGGTCATCTTGGGAGTCCCAGCCGACGATGCCATTGTCGAGGTCGGAAACGGGGTGGATCGTGGGAGGGAGTTGTTCCTTTTCTTTCTTGCGCCGCGAGGATGCTAAGCTTGCTATGCGGGAGAGGCGACTTTTTGCGCTGGTGTGGGAGTGTCCTGTGTGTATGCGTTCGACGACGATGTCCTGGTGATGGAGTTAGCACGGAACGAGTAGCTTGAGACAGAATACACTGTCAACAGATTTGAGTATTTCTAGAGAGGTCACAGAGAAAGCCAAATAAAGTGCCAATGGTGATTGAACCTTGGCAAACTCTTAAAACAGGTGCAAGAAGTTTTGCCAAGGAACATTCTGAGGGAAAAGTTGAAACTCACCTCCTGGTACGGCTCGCTGTCGGGCGTATCCTCCACATCGTCGAAGCTCTTTCTCTCTTCCATTTCAGTCTTTTCGCCCTTTTCCAAATCGCTTGACGCGTTGAAGTTTTGTCGAGGCTCCCGTTCCGCCAGCGTGCCCTGCTCTGAGGAGGATCCTCGGGGGCCGTGGGCGCCGGCCGGCGTCTCCACGTCCTTCTCGGACGTCATACTTGGGGACAAAAGTGGATTTTCTCTATCAATGGACAATGAATGAAGAAATTGAGTAGTTGGAAGTGATGTTACCTGAAACCAAGAGGTAGGAAGGAAGGGATTTTGTAGGTGAAAGGGGAATGGAAAATGAGGATGGGGAGGAGGAAAGAGCAAAGGGCCCGGATGTAGTAGCCGGCGGGAGGGCAAGCAAGCACATAAGGTATCCGCGTGCCTGGCGTATCTATCCACCTAGTAATAATCCTCAATCGCGGTACCGTGACTCTACGGTAGGAGTAGTGAGAGAAACTGCTTTAGTAATTCTAACCCGAGACCCCCCTCTCTCTTCTACCTTTCCCCCCCAGTTGCCGCATCTACCCTTGTGTAGGGAAGGGCGCAAGGCAAGGGCGACGATCATTGAGGTGAATGGTGTAACGTTATTCGACCAGTACTCTCCAAAGTCCCCATTCCATCATATTCGGCCGACCACCCCCTTGCGACTTGCAGGCCTCAGCTGCAGGAAGGTGCGTTTAGTCTCTCTACCGCCGCCGGGGTTTTCGCTGCCCTCTGAGTCGTCTCAGTCGGGGCTAACAAGTCCATATTTTATCTCCGTTACCCGCTTCGCGGCGGGCATAGTTGGGGTATGGGGATCAAGAATTGGAGGGGCTTATTGTACATAGTACCCAGAGAATGAGGAAAATAGGCAGTCTACGCTAGGTATCCGTACCTAGGTAAGGTAAGTAGGGATGCTGTGGAGCTCTCGAACTAAGATGCACTAAGGAGACCCAACCTCGGATCTTGTTTCTCAATGACAGGCAGTGACGGCGATGGGAGAGTCTAGGACGCGGGGTTCGTTGGAGACGGAGCCGCGGACTATCCATGGAGATCAGCGAGGGACAATGGATTGGGGCTGACCACCTACCTGTAGGCTGTACGGCAAATCGGCAGTGTTTGGCGTTCCGTCATCTCTCTGCCGTGGCAATCTTAATTCCGCGTTTCTCTACTTTGTTTTCCGCAGTTGGTGGTCATTGGTTGCAAGCTGGAATGCTCTTTGTAAGCTTCATGTTACCAAGAGGAACATCGGAAGCAAAGTGTGTATTGTACCTTTCTTTCTTTGTAAATTGACATACAGATAATGCAAGATGAAGTTACAACTACCAACACTACAAGAGTCTTAGAGTTTGTAATCAATCAACTTTAGAGATAGAGTTCATTCGTAACTGTCCAGGAAGCAGACTCAACCACCACTGGTCAATGCGCCTTTCCAGTCCCCAAGAACAGAGCCAAGTCTCGCACAGACCAGAAGCTGCAACAGGGCAGCTGCAACTGCAATGGAAGTTTGCAACCGTTCCCCGGCCCCACTTCGGTTGCCAACTCCCGTTCTCTCCTCGCCTTCCTTCCTCCACAGCCTACAGAGTACGGAGTAGGTATTCATACTGCATATCTGCCCCGCAGCCTCTCGGCAAGTTCAGCGTGGTTTCCACACTTTATCCGTCTGGGTAGGTACTCCGTACCCCAAAAAAAAGGAGACCGGAAAGGGAAGCCACCATCGATAACGCGGCCCCCTGGAAGAATGTGGGCACCTCTTTCTCCAAACTGACGAAGCCCTCCTCCACCTTGTGCAACTGTGTCCCGTCGCAAAACATTTGACATTGCGACCTTCCTTTTTCTTTCTATTGAGAGAGCTTCGACCACTCTTTCCCGACAACAAAACCACATGCGTACCTGTCTACTTACCTCGTGTACACAAATCCGATGAAAATGCACCACAGCCAAGCCTAGAATTCTACAAGAAGCGAAGGAAGCGACACCGGTACCGAGAAAGCTACTGGTACCACAACCACCATCCCGCGGGCACGTTCTTGCCCGCAGAAGACCGACGATACCACAGCCTAAGATGGCCTCCTCTTCAACCTCCTCCCCGACCCTCACCCGAACCGAGACCCTGAGCCTGGGAGCCCTCTCCTTTGCCGCAGTCGCAGTCCTCCTCAATGCCTTCCAGGGCGAGGGCGAGCCCCTGATAGCGTCACTGGCCCTCTCCGTCCTGGCCTTTGCGCTGGCCTATTCCATGATCCGATGGCTTGGCCCAGTCTTCAAGCACGCTGGCTTCAAAGGTCGCGACCTCTCCAAGCACCACCGCCCTGAGCTGCCAGAGTGCATGGGTGCCGTCTGCGCCGCCGTCTACCTCCTTGTCGTCATCGTCTTCATCCCTTTCCCCTTCTACAAGGACATTGTTGCCGCCACTAGCGGTGGTGGAAACAGGGACGTTGTATTCCAGGTCGAGCATGTCCAACAGGGACGGTTCCTGCATCGCTTCCCCCATAGCAAGGTTAGCTTAACATCTTGTCCCCTCGAGCGCAACACCATGACAAACTACTTACTCACCTGTTCCAACCCACCAGCTTGCCTCCTACCTTTCCGCCATCATCTCCCTCCAGACGACCGCCCTCCTCGGCATTGGCGACGACCTCTTCGACATCCGATGGCGTCACAAGTGGTGGATCCCAGGCCTGGCCTCGGTCCCCATCCTAGTAATCTACTTTGTCGACTTTGGCGTCACCTCCATCGTCATCCCGATCCCCCTCCAGCCCTATCTCGGCGAGCTCTTCGACCTCGGCGTCCTCTACTACATCTACATGTCCTGCATCGCAATGTTCTGCCCCCAGTCCATCAACATGCTCGCCGGCATCAACGGCATCGAGGTCTCCCAGTGCATCGTCGTCTCCCTCCTACTCGTCCTCAACGATTGCCTCTACCTCTTCACGCCTTACCCACACCCGGCCACCGACTCCCACCTCTTCTCCCTCTACCTTCTCCTTCCCTGGCTCGGCGTCTCCTTCGCCCTCGTCCTGCACAACTGGTACCCCGCCAAGGTCTTCGTCGGCGATACGTACTGCTACTTCTCCGGCATGGTCTTCGCGACGGTCGGCATCCTCGGTCACTTTTCAAAGACGCTTGGTCTCCTCCTCGTCCCCCAGCTCTTCAACTTTCTCTACTCGACGCCCCAGATCTTTGGCCTCATCCCATGCCCTCGCCACCGCTTGCCCCGATTCAACGCTCGTACCGGCCTCCTCGAACCAAGCAAGACCCCCTGGAGCCCCGAACGCCAACCTCGCCCCCTCGTCGCGCAAGGACTGCACCTGCTTGCCAAGTTGCGCCTTCTGGAGGTTACAGTGGACGAAAAGGGCCGCTTCGTCGAGACGAGCAACTTCACCCTCCTCAACCTGTGGCTCGTCTGGAGAGGTCCCCTGAGAGAGGATCGTCTCGCGTGGGAGGTCACCTTCCTCCAGCTCTTTGTTGGCCTGTTTGGCCTCTTTGTCCGACATCGCCTCGCTCTGCTCATCTTTAAGGAGGATAACTGGGGTATGACGACCAAGAGATACTGATCAACCCTGTTGTGTTGATCTGTGCCAAAGAGACAAGACCTCCTAGGGCCTCGCACTTTTATGACTGTTCACCAATCCCGGACTGACATTCCAACCGGAGATTTTTTTGTTGCTTCATTTCCGCATGTCTGGACTTCGCATCGCACAGGGGCGGCGAGGCTGGGAGAGCCGTTTGTATTATACCAAAAATGTTTAGAGGTTTGAGATTGAGATACCCTGTAAGAGTACCTAGCGGGTACATATGACCCGAAATTGACACTCTTGAAAGTTGGTCGAGATAATCAAGAGGGAATAAAGAACATCACATCACGACCATGGTTCCATGTGAACAGTATTATGTGAGTCAAAACTTAGGCAGCCTCTCGGCTGCAGAAAAAAGAGCCATCCATTTGTCATGGGAGGGGTGTAATAGTACCGCACCGAGCAACTATCCGTGTCCTCGGCACAGCTAACAAAAGCCTTAGAAATACACACGAAAACATGCCGTTCGTGGCAAGAGTAGTTGGAATCCTTCCTCCTGTCTTTTCTTCATCTCGTTTCCCGCCTTCAAGGTTTTCGTCTTTCTCACTACGTCTGTCCCGTTTCCCTTGGGTTGCGCCGTAGACCCCATCGAAAAGATTCAGCTTCCTGTCCTGCCAGATGACGGAGGAAAAAAGAAAAGAAAAAAGCGTCGAAATGGGCATGTGTTTTTCGTAAAGACGTGCATTTTCTTTTTTGCAGCTCCTCCAAAAAAAAAAAAAAAGAACAGTAAAACGCGGTTCATCTGAAGACATTCCCGAAAAAGCGCTGACCAGAATCCGAGGACCCCCTCCCGCCCCTTTCCCATTCCCATTGTCCGTCGCTGCCCAAACGCCAAAGTCAATCACCAGACTGTCGCCGCGCCGAAACGTTTTGATAATATTTAGAAGGGAAATGAAAGCCGCCGTGACGTCTTCGAGACTCGTGAACTCCGATCTATTTTACATCGTGTTGGCGGCCGCAGCCGCAGGATTCGAATTGATCGTGTTACCCGTGACGGGTGTGAGAACATCCGTGTTTTTCTCAACCACTGGAGAATCGACGATCGCATCAAGTGTTGATTTCGTCTCCTCAGTGCCAGACAACGAGGTCTTCAGAGTGCCAGCAGGCTTGGCTTTGTTCATCCTGCTCTTGGTATAGTCGCTGAGGCTCAACTTCTTCTTCACCGGACTGGGTTGTGCCGCAACACCATTGACAGCAGTCGGAGCAAAAGGGCTAGGTAGGCTACCTGCAGAGAATGGCGACTGGATTGTCGATGGCGTTGTGGCGCTGGGAGTCGCCGATGCAGGTCCGTTGAAGGCGGGGACCGGTGGCATCGTGACTCGCAACTCCGGTGATCGCATCTTCAACGGGCTGCTTGCGCCGTTTGCAAGGACATCTGAAACGTGGTCAGTCTGCAGAGGCGATTTGACCGTGCTTGGCGAACTTGTCGGAGCATCCGACATCAATACATCGCCAGTGGGAGGATCAGCTGGCGATGTCTCGCGGACTTGGTTGCCAATAGCCTTTGAGGGCGGGGAAAGGTCAGCGCTAAGTTTGGGCTCAGCTGGTTGATCCACGTCCATAGGTGTCGGTTCCTGAGTGCAGAGCGAAGAGAGCGACTTGCGTCTCTCGACTTCATCACAACGTAGGCGATGCCGATTGTTGAGCAACCGTTGTGAAAGGGAAATGATACGTCGTCGTGGCCTGGGCGTTTGTACGGGCTCACTATACCACTCGCCTTCGACAGGGTCGGTTTGTACGCCAACATCGCAGTATACGGGACGAGGTGCGGATGATGTTCGACCGGACTGGGAACCGGCCGACTCGGCTCTGGCGACAGGTGCCTTGAAGGGATTCTGTGCCGTTGGTGACACGCCGCTTGAAGGAGAATTCGACTTGCTTCGAGAAGTTCCCGCGTCGACATAGTGTGTAGTCCCGCTAGATGCGTTGCTCGTCAAGCGTTGCTTCGTCTTGGAAGAACTGGGAGTGGAAGTGGAGGCCGTACCATCGGATGTCCGCTTCTTCTTGCGTGGAGGCTGTTGCTGTTCCATCCGTCGGAATGAGTCTTCAACCATTTGAACCTTTCGCTTGTCCCTGTCAGTAGGTTCTGTCAGGATACCTGGCCGATCTAATGAACCCTGGCGTACGGGCGTGCGATCACGACTGGGCGGTTTGCTGCGTTCAGAAACTGACCGACCGTCGTTGTCGGCGTCGTCTTGATGTCCTTCGCTGGCTGCGCGGCTGTTTGTAGCGTGCCCGGTGCTGGTGGGTGAGATGGTGTGGGTTTTTGGCTTTCGTTGCTTCTTCTTTGCCGGAGGCCGAGACTGAACCTTCGCTTGGTGTTGTCTGTGGAAGCGAGCAAAGGCACAGTTTGCCCCCAAGTCACACGCACAGCCGCCGTACTCGGACAATATCCGATGGATCCAGCCCGATAGTGTTTGGTACTCAGCCTCGTCCATTTCAGTATCGTTCTGCGTATTGGTGTCATCGTCGGCGAGGCCCAGAAGATGCACCAACCGTGCCTGGAATTTCTTGGGTAATCTGAAGTCCCAGGGAAGTGTGATTTGCTCGTTTGCCGCGATGTATCTGTCGCTCATAAGCCAGAAGTGATATTCGGACTGGCCTGACAAGTAGGTATCCAGCAGGGCGTTGGGTTTGCAACTTCTTCGAACGAAGCGAGCCATCGATCCTTCTTTCCTGGTATCAATGTACAACGGAAGCATCGGGTGGAAGAAAACAAAAGGTAACGGGGATGAGAGTTCCTCCCAAAGATTTTCGGGATCTGCGCAGTAGTCCTTTTGAAATCCGATCACACCGTTGAGTTCAATCAAAGGAACGTCTTTCTCGATGGCGGCGGGGGTGGCGAGGTATTGCCATCGCAATGTCGTCTCTGGCGACACAGGAATCTTCTTACTCTCGACATGGAGCTGACGCTTACGAGCATCAAGGTCTTTCGGCAGCTTAGCAAAGACGTCGTTAAATTCCTCGCCAGTCTCTTGCCTCATACGGTCCGGTTCTCGAAGCCAAACTGACAGAGTGTTGGAAACGAAGAGGCTTGCAAAGGAATTGATGCGAGTAATGGGGATGTCTGCTTCTTTGCTCATAGACAAGAAGCCATCCGAGTAATTGTGTATTTGAAAATCGCTCGGAAGGTCCGGGGGAGTAGTTGCTGGACTTGGGGGGTGACCGTTGGGCTGTGATCGTCCACCGTTTCCATACGAAGGACTTCGCTTTGCGTTCTGAGAACTGATCGAGTGTGATGGGCGATGGGATGATTTCACCTTCTTTGATGGATGAGGGTGGTCGCTAGGACTTCCGTGCTTTGCATTCTCCTGGCCCACAGGGTGACCGTTCAACTGCAAGTCCGTTGGCTTGGGCTTCTTTTTGTGGCTTTTGGATGGCGGGCGTTTGGCCTTCTTATCTGGTATGGTTTCTGTCGTAGGACCATTCTTTAGTCGCCGGGTTCGCTCGATGGCCTTTTGTCGATCCAAGGGACGCGGCTTGCAATCAGCACACGAGTGGGCAAAGTCTTCGCGGAGTGCCTCCTCGCGACTGTGAGGGTAGAAGCAGTCGATGTGCTGCCACGTGTCACACGTTTCGCAGTAGATCGTGTTTCCATCATCGTCAGTGAAGTTGCAAATACACTTAATGGTGTATGGCTCTTCTTCCTCTACTGTCTCGGCCTTGCGTGGCACATTATGTGTTGAGACTGGTACGCTCGGAGCGAAGAGGGTCTGACTAGGAGTCGCGGTCTGCGTCGACAGCGGCTGAGGCTTTTCGGTCATAATCTAAGATTGCCTCGTGGTGCAAATTGAAGTCGAGGTATTGCGTGAGGTGATTACTGTTGCGGCCTGGGTAGCATGACGACGCCTGTTTAGACGCACAGGAGCAAGCCGTCGAATGAACCACAGAAACAGCAGGACGTAGGGTCGTCGTCATCCGTTAGCGAGAGGTGTGTAGTCGAGTCGAGGGATCTCGACGAAGTCGGGAGAGATAGGACTTGGCGGGATTGTCGAGTCTGGCTCACAAAGGACAGGTCGTCGCAGAGTCGAGAAATGGCCCAAACAAATCGGGTTTCCAGTCACCGCGGTTGCCCCGAAACCAGGACGATGCAGCCAGAACGTCACGAGCGTGTGTTGTAGGCGTCGTGAGGTGGAAAAGTTTTCGAATTGTGATCGCGAAGAGCGTGTCCACGAAACGGATCGAAGCCAGAAGGGGGACGAGGTCGAAGAAAGGGTTGAGCGGTTGCGCCTCGTCGACGGGGAGGGATAGAGCGTTTCGAAAAGCTGGACTGAGTCGGGGGGACGTAGTATGATGAGGAAACCGAGTATTGAGGACCGGAGGTGAGGGAGAGTAGGGTGTTTTGGGTCGAGAAAATGAGGGTGGAAAAGAGATTGAAAGAGAAGAAGAGAGGGGGGCACGACACGCAGGAGAAAGATGGATGGGTCCCCCAAAGGAGCGTAGCAGAGAGCAGCGGTGGTGGTAGCAGCAGCAGTAGTAGCAGTAGGAGTACTGGTGCCGGTGCTGGTGCGGTGCGGTGCGAGGTGAGAGCGAGACAGGTCCCAGTGCAGGAGCGTGCAGGCCGGAGCCCAGGCCAAGCCGAAAAGAGAGAGAGAGAGGACGAATGAGTAGGAACAGTGACTGCACTGCTCAGGTTGGGGGACTTGGACTCCTGCGGCTTGGGGACTGGACTGACTGGCACCTTGTACTTCGGTGCGCGGATTGCGGACTGGGTGATGGGGGGAGGCAAGGGAAGGGGGGGGCGTCTTCGAAGATGGGATTTTTTGGGGGGAAAGGGCGATGAGGACTCTCCCCGGACGGGTTGCTGGGTGCTGGGATGCTTGGGGGAGCATCGCACCTGCTCAGCTCGAGTTGCCCTGGCTCATCGCCCGCTTCCTGCTGAGGAGCACTGGCTACCACCAGCCAGCCCGCCAGCCGTCACAGCCTGGTACAGCCGGGCATGCGCTGGAAGGGAAGGGCGACAACAGGAGCCCAGCCAAGAGAGAGAGAGAGAGAGAAAGAGAGAGACGGGAAGACAGACGAGAAAGTGAGTGAGAGACGGGAGACGAGGGCAGAAAAGCCAAAGCCCGTGTGTAGGAGAAAGCAGGGTACACAGGTACCAGTACTTACTTGAAGCTAAGCCCGAAAGGCAGTGGACACGCTGATATGAGTGGCTACGGCAGTCCAATCAGCCCTCTAGCGCAGATCCATGATGCCTCAGGCAGAAGAGGTTTCAGGCCGCAACCAGACACTGAGAGAGATGGGAGAGGAAGTGTGTGATGGTTTCCCGTCTGATGAAGGACTGGGCGAGTGCCTTGTTAGCCCTCCGCACCAGACACGCCTGAAAAAGGTCGACCAGGCAAGAGAATGACGGGTAAAAAAATAATAAGAATCCAGTCTGAGTGGGAAAAGAAGCAAAATGTTGGAGAGAAAGTGGGGTGTGGAACACTTTTCGCAATAAGTGTACAGAAGACAAAATGAAGGATACATTCGACTAGAACAGACTCTCATCATCTTGATGAGAGAGTAGAGCAGCTGGCGGCCACGCGATGTCGGTTTGATATGAACAAAAACAAGAGGCAGACTCGTCTGGTGGGAGTGGAGGGACAAGAGGCGGCATGCAAAGATTTAATGAGTAATAAGAGAGAAAGAAATGGGCAGGCAGCGTGGTGTTGGTGTTTGGTGCGAGTTGGGTGATCGACCCTCTCTGGCCCTAGCAGAAACGGTGGGCGGATGTGACGGGAGGAGCGAGAGGTGGAACGACCGAGGGCGAAAGGCGACGGCAGACTGGTCGAGGACTGGTCGAAGGAGGGGTGACCCGCGCGACGGGAGGGACTCTGCCTACGCCATATGGATGGATGGTTCATGGATGCCTTGCTTCGCTGGTTTCTGCCTGTGAATGAAAGGGCATCCGAGTGCCGTGTGCGGAGACGACCAAGGTATCCGTATCCCGCAAGATAGGAAGATGAGGGCGTGGGCGGAAGTGAGTGTGTGAGCACTGAGAATTGCGGTAAGCCAGGAGGGTAGACTTGAGACCAGAGACACGGGAGAGTAGGTCCTCCGTATGTGACTGGTTCATAGCTGACGGAAGACTATGCACAAGATGAGCGTAGATTTGATTGTTTGTGTGCTTGTATCATGGAGCGGGAGAATGTCGGCGTCGTGTTGATCTCCTCGTTGAGTTCCAGTTGAACAAGCGTCGAATTCGATGCCTTTCAAACATGGTAGCGTCTTTGGAAAACCAAACCAGCAGGATTCAAGACTGAGAATCGGGGATGACCATGGCTTTCATCCCATGCCGAGGGAGACGTGAGGCCCGTCCAATTATGCGCAATCTGGATTTTCTTAAAATAGGAGTTGCCTTCAGGTGACTTGGTCTCGGTGCGTCGTTTCGCAGGAAACCTTTGTACCTTGGCCCCCCCCTTTCATGCCTGACTTGTGAAGAAGTCAGTTGGTGCTTCTTTCTGATTTGTGCTAGGCAGCTGGACGGCGTGGGCGGGTGGCAAGAGTCACTTTCCGGTTGGGGGCAATCCAAGTCCAATGCGCCAGGGCGCCAGGGGTAGAAGAAGCCAACGAGACTGGAGAGGCACTCGAAGGACACTCCACTGTCGAGCCTCTTGGCTCCAGGTGAGGGTGAGTGGTGAGACCGTGAGAGAGAGAAAGGCCTCTGCAAGATGGTCCAATGGGAGACCTTGAGCAGACTTCAAAGGCGCTGCCCCTCACTCAGGCCTCCACTGCTTCGAAGCTCTCCACATCCACGCCGAATACTGTCCACTTTCGTCTCTCCCTAGCGCACCGCGGAAGAAGAGAGCTTCTCGCTTCTCGTCACAGAAATGTCTGTCCGACCGAAGAGGTGCGAATACGGCACTCGAGAGTTCATCGCGTCGAGGGCCATGGAACCGAAGCGGACACTACACCAAAGTCAGCCACCCATATTCCTAGTTACATGTAATCCATACACAGTGAGGACAGTATACATACCTAGGGCCGAGGTGCTTCGTGGAGGTTAAAGGAAGGAAAAAATACATCTCTGTATGTACCTGGCTATGTGACTCTGTTCGGCTGCAGTGGGATCAGATTGTATTGGATTTGCCATCAGATTAAGTGGGTCTTACCTGCGAAGGGCATCATTTCTGATGTTCCTCCCCAAAACCCAAAATGGTGAAGTCCCCTCCCCCCCAAAGTCGCAAGTCGCAAGCCGCAAGTCCCACGAGTGCAGCGTCGTGTCCTGCCGATTCCCACTTGTCTCGAGTCTCAACTCAACATCCCATCGTCCTCTCTCATTGGTTGAACGATCAATCTGGGAATGAACGACCGGGTCTTACTGCCAGGGCCTAGTATTATCGTGCATGGAGCCGGTCTAATCGCTCCCTGCAACAGGTCACCCTTCCCCCTGGTCAAGCTGGAGACCTGCAGTTTTACATGCGACTTTGCGTTGGAGTTTTGGAGGTGACAAACAGCTCCGACTTGGATGGGCAAATGTTGGCTCTCTGGGTGACAGAGTCTGTCTCTGCACACCCACGCCCACGGCTGACGGTAGCGTTCCATGGGTTTGTCGTAGGTAGTCTCGCAGAGGCGTCTTCGCCGCCATAAGGTCACCCGCCTGCAGAGGCGGCCCTTGATGACTGCAGCTGGAGCTCTCCCCCCATCACCCCTTTCGTGAAGCCTCATGTATCGCTCGTCAACTCAAGGCGACAATAGCATGCAGCTTGAAGTCATCATCACTGCAGGCTGATGCGATGCGTCCCCCCTCGGCACTGGAACCTCAACCCACCCTTTCGTTCGACGGTCGGTAGCGTAGGTAGAATGACTCTCGCCTCCAGTTGCTCTCCTTTCTCTCCAAAATCCTACGCCGTCACCCGATGCCCCTTCTACATCTGCGCTAGATGGCTCGACCCCTCACCAAGACAGACTAGGTTGGCCTCCAAGAGCTCGGTAAATGGCACACTGCGTTGAACTCTACTGTGAGTGTGTACGCAGAAACGGAGGCATGGGGGGCGGCCATTTGGGCTGCTGAGGTGTCATCTACCTATCTGCCTCACCAAGTCATAGTTGCAGAAGTATCGGTACCTTGACCACCTTCAGTCAATGCTCTTCAGGTCCAGCACAATTGCGCGCCTCGAAAATGCGACCACGCGCGGCGCCTTTGCGAGCAGTTGTGGTCCTTGTTGCCCTTGGATTGACTGGTTGCCCAGAGCGCCCGGGTGCTCCAAGTACAGTACGACGTAGGGAGGACATCAGCGCCCGCTGCGGGCTCGAAGGTCGTTATCGAGCCTTTGCCATTCATAATGCTCCTTGGTGAAGGGATCGACGGGAGGAAATGCGCTATCCTTTTGCTCTCTCGCCTCATCATCCTTCTCCCCCAACTGGAAGTAGACAAACAAAACAAAGAGTCGCGGTTTTCCATCGTCCATCCGCACCCAGCTGGCGTAAGGGCCCCGGCATGATTCGCGGCCGGTGTCTTTTTTGGCTAGGATCTCCCTGTCCTACGATTGCGTCCTGTACAAAAGTTTGCGACACTGATAGCCGGGGCTGCAGCTGAGTTGTCGATACTTGTTGACCACGGTCCCCAATCATCGTCCAAGCAGGCTGGCCACACTTTCCGGCTCACTCGAGCACTTTGTTTGCGCCAGCTTCCTGCACTCGACGCCAGGTTGCTTGGTACAAGCCGACGGACCCGTGCACCACGGTTTCTTTGGTGAGAAAGACGCATGAGATGGTGTGGCTCCCGGTGTGGCTACCTTTCCCCTCAGGTCATCATCCATGCCGTAGCACGACGTCTTGAATCGCGGACAGGTCTGCCCAATCACGAAACCTGCGCAATCGAGACTTCAAGATGCTTGGATCGGAGTGCGCACCATGCAGTTGCGGTCCTGACACTGAGGAGCTTGGAGGACAGCGGCTTGTGATGATGGAGAGACCCTGAACAGATTTGGCGGGCACTGGGCTTTCAATGCTGAGGTTGCTGTCTTGTCTGCTTCGGTTCTGTCCACGGGACCAAAGTTCCAGGGATCTTCCAACGAAAGCTGGGCCTTCGAAACAGCCCAGCTATTCTCCGTGACAAGGCTCCAGCCGTCGCATAGGAGTGAGCACGAGCGGAGGCGAAAAGTCAAGCCCATAATTGTGGCTAGAATGCTGACAGCTTCTTCTCGTGTGGCGCTCCGTCTCGTTTGCGCAGGGACGGCTTCTTCAATGCGCAAATGGTGACATGGCACTCGCGACGCAATTCAATGGTCGCAGCTCGCAATGAAGTGACTCGGCCGTTTCAATCTCAAAAGACGAAGGCGGGAGGTAATCTGGAGCTGGGAAGTTGATAACGAAAGTGGGATCTTTGGAGGGGAACGAAGCACAAGAGTGGGAATTTTACGGTGGCCCGTGCAGTGCGCCGACGACAACAGAATTGGATGTACCTTTTGGACCACCATTGAAGAGGCTCATCCGTGGTTCATTCGCTGTATTCTAGCAATAGGGATAATCCAGAGGCCACTTCTGTTTATTTTATCTAAATTTCCAGTCAACAATCAAATATCTACACCTCCATGTACACATATCATCAAAGGGTACCGCTTGTTCTGCACCAAAGACATGCAGTGAAAGGTACCTTGAATGTCGCCATGGTCGCTGGGGAAGGCAAAGGCGCTTGTCCCAATCAAGGTCCACCTAGCTCCGCCCAATCAGAGCAGCCCTTGGTTGTCCCCATGACGTTCTCCCTCCGAACCCAGCCCCGTTCGTTGCTCACCACCTACCAACCGTAGCCGCTCGCAGGAACCACTTCTCTACCACCTCTCATCATCCTCACGCTAAACATCGAACCTCGGACGCCGACGATTCCACACCGAGCATCCAACGAAGTCGAGACCGCCGTCGTTCGAACCCTTCAGAGCCCATCTCCCTAATAACATCAAAACACCTAAACCTCTACTCGCGATGAGGTTCGCCACAGCTGTCATCGCCTTCCTCTCTGCCGGTCTCGCACCGGCCGGTGCCAGCGTCCTGGTCCAGAGAGACCAGTCCGTCATTGTCAACGATGACCTCAAAGTCCCTGGCGACTCGCCTTTGGAGCTCTGTCCCAAGTCCCACGATGAGGATATCGTCACAATCGACAGCGTAGACCTCTCTCCCAACCCCCCTCAGGCGTAAGTTGTTTGAGGCAGCCCAGTCTATGACGAGGCAAACCGCAATATCGTGAAACGGGAATTGGCTAACATAGTGTTTCAGTGGCAAGGAGCTTGTCATCAAGGCTTCCGGCACCGTGAAGCAGAACATTGAGAAGGGCGCATACGTCCTTCTCCAGGTCAAGTACGGCCTCATTCGCCTTATCAGCACCAAGGCGGACCTCTGCGAGCAGATCGAGAACGTCGACCTCGAGTGCCCCATCGAGAAGGGTGTTCTCACCGTCACCAAGTCCGTCGAGCTTCCTAACGAGATCCCCTCCGTAAGTTCGCCTCGTCTATGAGAATCATCATCAGATTATTGACCACATACGTAGGGCAAGTACACTGTCTTTGCTGACGTTTACACTGCCGATGACGTCCCCATCACTTGCTTGACCGCTCAAGTCGTTTTCTCGCGCAACACCAAGAGCTTCTTCAGCTTGGAGCTTTAAATTAATTATAAGCATACGATGGTTTACGATGATGGGGCATGGGTTACAGTCACACGTAGCGATACATCCAGATTGCTGTTGGGGTTTCACTTCATCTCATAACACTGGTAGCATTAGGAATTTGGCATAACGCAGTTCAATTTTGCCCGTCTGACGGATTCGTTTGAGGGTCCATTTAAGTGTTCATTCTGCGTAGGAGTATCGGCATAATAATGCGTACGTACATAGGGTAGCGGTGCTCGGCATGTAGCTCGCAATTTATTCACGATAGGCCGGTATGGTCCATCCAACCCCCCGAATACGCTACCGGCGTATCATGCTTCTGCCTCTTGACCCTTACTATTCCCAGCAAACTGCGAATGACATGCTTATTCGCCAAACAAACGGCGCACTCTGCGCAAAACACTGTCCTTCTCGGGGTCGTACGGGTGGTCCTTGCTCGGAATTTCGAGAACGGTCGGGAAAGCAGCGGTATAGGTATCGACACGGTGTCTTATGCGATCGGCAATCTGTTCCTTCAATCAGCATATATCCTAATGGCACACGTCTTCCTCCCCGCGCGATCGCTACTGACGTGTTGGTTGATGAGGATGATGCCAATGTCCTTCCTCGACGTGAAGGATTCAAAGGCAGACTCGATCGCAGCGGTATCCGTCTTGCCATCCACAACGAGGAAGTTCTTTTCTTGGTCGGCACCCGTACTAACGTGCTGTACATCTGTTAGTTATCTCGAGCCGCAATCGCAATCGTCCGTGGAGTCGAAAGAGCGCACCCCAATGCCAGCTAGAAGGAGGCCGGTGACCGAGTCCTAGTTTTGAAGTGTTAGCTTGTTGAAATCGCACGCAGTGTTGAATACGCAAGTGTCCTACCTCGTCGCCGATAACGGCGAGGAACTGGCGGTCCTTCATATCTGCTTGCGAAGCCATCTTGGATGACTTGTGCGGTTGTAGGAGAGCTTGCGATGGTCCAGGAGGTCAGCGGACGGATTGACGTACTTGCCTTGATTACCTGTACTCGCAGCGCTCCACTCCAGCATCCTCACTGTGGCTGAACCGTTGTTAGCGCTATCCTGCCAGGTACTGCCTGCTGGAGGCCGAACTGCTAACAGGCTCAGGTCGGATGAGGTGTGGGCGCTGCAACAAGCCAGACCCCACCTACAGCATTTCGGTACGTATCGCTCCAAGGTGCGCTTTCAGTTTACGGTCCATGCACATGTAGAAGGTACCCCTGTCGAAAGCTCCTCCTGCCTAGCAGCGGGACAATGGCCCAAAAATCAATAGACCCAGACTTCTTTGTAAACAATTTCACCTAGCGACGAAATCCACGACGACAACGACGATAAACGACATCGACACACCACTCGATTCCGTCGACCACAAAAGCCATCGCCTCCAAGGCCGCCAGGTTTCTATCCGCCCAGAATTCGCCTGTTGATGAGAAGCAGCGCAATCCGACGAGATGCCGCGTCTAGTGCGAAAGAAGCCGCTCTCTGAGCGCCTGAAGGCCATGCTGAATCCCATGGACTTCTTGCTCTGGCTGTCGGAAGAATTGGAGACGAGAGATTGGGACTCAAAGGCACTGGGGACACAGCTCGGGCTCGGCTGCAACTTTGTGTTCCTCCTCGCCAGAGCTAACTGCGTAGCATCGGAGGTCGAGGATGACGTGTTCAGCGATGGAAGCTCTGGAGGCATCGTCACCTACATTGTCAGTAGCATCGAGGTGTTTGGGTTGCGCATCATGGTTGCTAACAAGTCCTTAGGTGCGGCCCCTTGTTTGGATCCTTGGCCTCCTATCTGTTGCCAACGCCTTCTATACCATGTCGAGGACAAGGCAGTACCGCTTATTCCAAGTCAACGTCGAGGACAAGCCGCACACCCCGTCAGCCCAACGAGTCAAAGCCAGGTCCAGCCCGGCCGTCTCTTCGCCCCTTCGACTCTTGAATAACCTTATGTCTTCCGAGACTGCCGAATCGCGAGCCCATCCCGACAGATCACACGATGTTTGGGAGCTGAGCGTCTGGGATCCTCTCCCGGTCTCCTTGCAGCTTTTCTGCCTCTTCAGCCCTGGCCACGTCCTCGTCTACATGATGTTCCTCCCTCTGGTGCCTTTGGATCCAAGACCGAGCGTCACAGTTTTCAACTGCATCGTGCTGCAGCTGATTCTTTCCGTGCAGCTGATCTTCGTCCAAACTCGGTACGCTCAGCAGATCAAGGATACGGCCATCATCCATAAGGAGGTCCTTCACGAGTATGACACCAAGTTCGTGCGGCCACGCCTTCACCCCGTTGTTCGCGATGTAGGCACACAGTGTTCGCCTGAAGAGGCTGAGGATGAAGAGTCCTTTGTCGAACTGGGAACGCCTACAACCGTCATCAAGAAGGAGTTTGTGGTTACGCCCAATCCTCACGTCAAGCAGGAGGACCCAGTCCATACTCCTCCCATTAGCAGCTTCGCGTCCCGCCTCTTTACGCCGACATCTAATAGGCGATCCGAGTCTTTCACCCCTGTGCCCAGCACTCGCTCAGTCCGTCAAAGTCTTCCGCCGGCACCCATGTACCAGTCGACTTCGACGTCTACCGCGAACGCCGGAACGACGAGCTTCGGCGGAAACTTGGGTGTATTCAACCACGCAAACTCGCCCCTCAAGAAGACATCCAGTCTCAACGAGATGAACCAAGGCTTCATGTCGCCCCGCAACTCGAGAGAGATGGCTGCTCGGGAACAGCGTCGAGGCAGCCCGTTGAAGCAGTCAGAGACTAGGAGATCAACTGGTTCAGATGCCCTCGACCACACGAGCGCTCCTGACTACAACCCCTTTGCCAGCGCAAAGAGGAACAGAAGCAATCAACAGGGGGAACGGTACCCTTCTAGATGGTCGGGTTTCCACTGAGAGGGGTCGACATACGTTACATGAGAGACAGGTGAAATTGCTCTAGGGAGACTTTTTGCTTGATGGCTTCAAACTTATTTACAGCAGCATATGGCGGCGTTAGGCTGGTTCGGGCGGATGGTCAATTCCTGGGCCGGCGTTCTTCTTTGTTAATCAACTATTCAAGTCTCAAGACTGATTTCGTGTTCTCCTCAATTGACTTTTCCTATTGAATACGTATCTACATTGTGTCACCGCATGAGCTTGGCTCGGCAATATTGGTTCAGCCTTACCACTCAAAAAGACGTCGAAGACATCCTCAACATTGCCCTTATGGGGGAACCTACGACTTTATGAAATGGGTGTGGCCTTGTACCCTACTACCTGTCCAGTGTTCATGTGGGGTGCAGCAGTGACCCATTAGGCCTCGTCTTGATACCCAGGCTCATTTTGTGTGTATAGATTCGAGAGCTAGCGAAGCAACGCATGCCAATGCTTCGCTCATGAGTATGGAGTATGCCACTTCCTACTTATCTTGACCACGTTGGCGGTATCGTGGAGACGCTTACGGGCTGGTGAAGCTATGTGGGGAGAGGCTCTTCTGCATTTCTGGCTTCCGCGACATCGGATTCCCCCTTTCGCCTCGTTTCGCTTAACGGACAACATTTGTAGTAGGTTGCTGCTTATAATGGTATCATACAAACCGACACAGCTGCTTGGATGGGGCTTCCAAAGTCTTTAGTAGGCGTATGCGCATGTAAATACCAGGAAGACCGGACTGGCAGGTAAAACGGCAAAGAACTAATTCCCACGACGTATGCTAGTTATTCCAGTATGATAGCTTGCTAAGCAATTCGGCCAAATTCGGCACCTGATACTTTCTTTCAGATGATATCTTCCGAACCTCCGACCCCCGTCTCCATCAGCCTTTCCCCTTACCTCCCGCACTGACTCAAATTGATCACCATGTCTGACTCTATCTTCCCGGAGAGTACTTCAGAAACTGCTGGGGATGGCTATGTAAACCTCCATAGGTTGAATATCTCTGGTCCCAGGCTTGAACCCAAGCCTCCAGGTCAATCGCCTCGCCTGCGGCCGCGGCGCTCTCAATATACTCCCGAGCATCTGCTTGGAAATCCATGAAGACGTTTTCAATCATATTTAACAAAACCTCTGATTTTTGAGGCTTGGAGACTGCTTTGACGGGTTTGCAGCTTTCGGTGTAGTATCGAACATCCTTCAACTTGCACCGTTGTCTGGGTCGTCGAATGCTGTATGTGATGGCATGACCTTCCTCCGGCAAGAAAACCACAATTGACACTCGGTTCAAAAGCCTAAAGTTGGGATCGCTGATGGTGGCGGTAGCAATCGACGAGAAGAGCTGCTTACAATATGGTATCGCCAGGTGGCGCATTTGTCCGATGGGCATGCGGGCTCCATGTCTCAGAAGATTCAGCGTCGCCCAGTTGTGACAGTACACCGTGTCTAGCTCAGGGCGGAATTTTCTGACTGGAACGTCAAAATTTAGCTTCGTCAGAGAAGCGAAACTCGATACCGCTTGCTTTCGAGTTTTGGACAAAATGGCGGGAGTCCTGGCAAACATGCATGAGGACAGAAAAGGCAGTGTAGACTGTATCTCGTGAGAGGTATGTGACTACACAGACTTCCGGTTCGTCTTTGTCAGGCAGACTGAATCTCCAGATGGCTTGCCGGAGCTCGACGGGTAGGTGAGGGAACTTTTCGAAAGAAGCCATGCTTAGTGGACATCTGACTTGAGCTGAGTGAAGTGAGGCGTTTGAACCAGAACGAGTCAGAGATAGCCAGGCTCGACGCGCAGTCTAGGTGGAGAGATGGAAGGAATCAATCGTAATGGAAGCTTAGGCGGAGGGAAGGGAGGCAATGATGGCGATGAAAATGGAGGAGGAAGGAATTCTCAGAGCTTAGAATCAAAGATGACAGGATTTTTCGATGCCGACGTGGCGGGAAGGAAGAAGAGGAGGAAGGAAGCTGCGAGTTAGAGGGAAGTTATCTTATGGAAGGAAGTCAGTCTGATTAGGCAGGAAGGTACCCTCTTCGATGTTCAACGAAAGTTACGAGAGAAGGCAGGTACGTCGAAGGCGCTGCACCTGCCCTCGTCGCATAAGGCTCAGGCAAGAAGGACCGTAGCGCATTCAACAAGGTGTCCCTCATGTGATTGATATGTTCGATTCCTAAGTAGGAAGAACTGTCTCATGATGCATCCAATATTGGAACCTTCTATCGTTCATTGCTACCCGGACCTTACTAACATGTTTGTGCTACGAGGAAGCTCTTTCTAAGTGGAAGGTACTTCCTGCCTCATACTCAACAAACGTCTGTGTTAAGTATTGGACTCTCTTGAAGGTCTTCGATTCACGATTCCACCAGCGATGAGCTCTTCGTAATGTTCTGTCCATATCGTTGAAACACTCCTCGATGATCTTCTCGAGTTCTTGGATGTACTCCGTCATGCATTTTGACAGGTGCGATGGGTTCCAGGTTTCGGATCCGTCAAGATCCTTCATATCAACGGTGTATATCTGTGTGCTTTCCGCAGATATCGGGCGTAGCTTGCAGCGTGTCTTTGGTGCGTCGAAGTAGGAGCCAAAGCAAGAGTCACGAGAGGGGTCCTCAACGACCACTGACAAAGTCTCCAGTTTCGGAAAGTAGAATGTGAGTACCCAAGCTACCAGATCCAAGAACTCCTTCTCGCCGGGAATAGCCAAATGCCTTGTTTCTTGAAGAACGTGCTCGAATTCGTCTTCGCTGGCAATGTCTTCCAGAGATGCCGGGCCTTGGTTCTGGCAAAACAGAGTATCCAATTCTGGCTGATAGAGTCGGAATGGCACAGAAAAATCGATCGTATCAATGGCCGAGTCCGGACGCATGAGATTGATTCCACTCAGTCTAGAGTTCTGGACAAATTGGCGAGACTCGTGGCAAACATGCATCAGCACCGGGAAGGCAGTGTACACCAGTAACGACTGCGGTGTATCGCACGATGACGGAACGATGCAAACTTCAGCTTCGACTTCAGGAAGTGACAATTTCCAAATTTCGGCCCGAATCTCTGCAGGCAACTCGCCAAAGAGGTGGAACTCCATTGCGCAGGCGTAGATGACGGCTAATCTGGTAGACGGCTAGCAAAAGAAAGAAGAAGGCATCGCGCAAACAGAAAAGGGATGAGAAGGAGAGAAAATCAATTGAGTTATTTAAATGTTGAGGGAGGAGCGTCGCCAACTTACAAGCAGCTGCCTTGTGCCTTGAGTCAGGGGTTGATAGCAGCAGCAGTTCATCGAGTCGTTGCGCCTCTGTGAGATTGGTTGCTCATACCTGTCGTCCCTTCCTGAGCAAGGATCTCCCTTTCTAACCATAACCCATCATTTCCGATCTCTTACATCGCCGCCGGACACACCTAGCAACTGGTTCGTGAGTTCTTTTTGGTGGCATCGTTGTTTATTTACTTTCTGTCTGTCTGACCATGCAGCATTTCTATCCCCGCATCCCCTCGAATTGAATTATGTCAACCCACTCAGCCCCAACCACCGGTCGACCGCCCGATGCACCATCGTTTCGAGTCTTATCTAGACGTCCTGGACAGCAAGCTTCCGAATGGTTTGGCCGGAGGTCAACTCTAAGCGCGCGTTTGAGGGCCGTTTTCCCAAGCCGCCGGGCTGAGAAGGGTAGCACCCATCGGAATCAAGGATACTAGGAAATCACCGAGAAACCCCGTTCGAGATCTAGACACTCTCCAACAAGTCCTCCTCAAGTAGGTCGGAGCTCTGACCATATCACTCGCTGGAACACAGCCAAGGAACTGGGCCTTTCTCGGAAAGCTCGATCTTCTGAGCCTGAGCCTCTTCTCCGGAGAGCCAACACGATCGCCCATGCACCAGTGACTAGATCTTCAAGAGAAGAGCGAACACTAGAAGAACGTCGATTGGTTCATCGAGAGCGCAGAACTTTGAAAGAGAGTGGAGATTACCTTGGCGTCACAGGAATCAACCCAGTCACTGGAGAACTAGACGTTGAGACACCATCTACGACCAGCTTCAGCTCTGCGTCCTTGACTCTCGACCAAAAGCTGGAAGCTAGACACAAGTCGGAGTCTCGACGTACGCGCCGCGGGGCCGAAATACTGACAGAAGAGGTGACTAAGAAGCTCCAGCAACGGGAAGAGCAACGATTTGCCCAGAAAGATCGGGAAAAGGAGGCCATACGACAAGCACAGCGCAAGGTTCAGTGGCAACGTCATAGGCAGCAGTGGTCTTCTGCCAAAGAGCCAGTCCTAAGCCCGATTGCGCAGTCAACCAAGAGCATATCCACGCGCGGTAAGCTAGCTTGCGTCTACATTGAGCTCATATACTAACCAATAAGTCAGGTTCTGAAGCGAAAGACGCCCGAAATCTGCTCGAGCAACCAAGCCCTCATCATTTGGGAATGGGCCATACTGATCCCAAATCTCATCTGCCCAGACATATCATCTCGGAAGAAAACGATGCTGATTCATCTGACACTGTGATACGAACCCCCCAAAGTAGGCGATCATCTTTGGCATCCACCACGGCCCAGGAATTCGGGAGAAACGGCCGCACTTTGGGCGGAGACCGAGGACCTGCACAGATGCCCCTCCCGTTTGGAATCTTGAACTCGCCTCACGGCGCCAGTGAGAAAAGTCGCCAAGGTCACTTCGGCCCCCCAGAACCAATCATCGGTCAGAGTCTGAAGGGCAAACCCACGGAAAAGGAGTTGCCCTCTTTACCTCCAGGGCCTCAAAAGACGGTGTCTTTTTTAGGCCAGCGGTGCCCAGAGACAGAGCCGGGAGGCCGGCAAGCTCTCCGGGCCGTTTCCAACCCGATGTCTCTGCGGAAAGCAGACGATCAGGATCCGCTGGGATACCACAGCAAGGGATCCTCAAGAAACCTGTGTCCAACTTCAGACAAAATCCTCCGTCGTTCGAGAACAGTGCCAGCAAGCGCAAGCCTGACGCCTACCAACCTCTCGAGAGGTCATATCCTGCGGGAAACATACCAACGTCCAGCGCAGGACTACCAGCAGCGGACAACACTAAATCACTGGGAAGCAAGACAACTTATCCCACTGATCCGAGATGCGGAAGCCCTGGACAGCGAAGAAAAATTGGCAGTAGCGCCACCAGTAGTAGCTTGCCGTTCATTGATCGGGGAAACTCACGAGTTCAACGACCAGCAGGCAGCCAAGACTCATGGCCTACCAACCACAGCGAGCATATCCCCATTCAAGTCATCGTTGACATCCCAGATCGACCTGGAAAGCCCGCTTCAAGAGAATCCGCTGACCCGAGAGCATATCCACGCGCTACAGGACAGCCTTTGCAGGGTGACCCAAAAGCCGTCAGTACTGGCAGTGGAAGGTCTCACCTTCGAGGGCCGAGTAATAACTCCAAGAAGGACGGAGATCCACAAGGACGTGTTACATCAGCGAGAAGTAGAAAAGACGGAGGCTCTCAAGACAAAAGCTGCCACCACACCCACCACCACCATTATTGGCTGCGACCAAGGTCTTTCACAGTCGAACCTATGCCAAGGGCAACTCGAGAGCAAAGTCAGCGAAAGCTGGAGCATGTTGCAGAATCGACACGTGAGTCGACGATGCGGCGAACAGATGTCAACGTCAACAGAGGACATCTCGACCGGAAAAGTGCGGCATCTGAGAACCGTCAAAATAAGGACCCAAGCTTTGGCACCAAAGGCAAGCCAAACGCTAACCCTCCAGCGTCAAAACGATGCGATCCACAAGGAGGTCGGGAAATACTCTGCGAGAAATTTGGCAGACAACAACAAGCAGGAGAGCCAAGCCGAGGACCCTGTCACATCACACATGTCCACGTCTACATCACCTCTAACCGTGTTGGAGCAAGCCACGCAGCAGGGCCAAAGCAAGATCGCATCGACGGGGGCGGCGCGGGCCGCAGTGGCCAATTCGGGCAAAAGGACGGCGGAAACTCGGAAACAGAGCCTCCCAGCCAGCGGAACACCCAGAACGCTGCCTGTCAGTCTCAGGAAGCCTCCTCCCGATTCTGTTCCGAGTAGGAGATTGCGGAATAAGTTCAAGATCACGAGGTTCTCGAACAAGAGCCCGTCGAAGTCAAACAACACCGTGGCCGACGTTGTAGAGGCGGACGACAGCCGCAAGAGTTTGAAGGCGTTTTGCGTCATGAATGGGAGAAAAGGCAACCCGCAGAATACACCAACGGAGAGCAAGGAATTGTCAGCAGCCAGTCAAGCCAGGTTGAAAGCTGGCTGCAGCACGTCAACGGCCCTGGTGAACAGCGACTCCGAAGGCGGCGACACCGGAGGTCGTTTGAGAAGAGACGTGTTGAATAAGCGTGTGCTAAAGTGCGCCACCGACGGCAAGCAGATTGCGGGGAGCTTGGCTCGATGGTATTGGAGAGCCGTATCACCTTGCTTTGATCCGACATCGCCTTTCAGAAAGCGACTTGATGTCAACGAGTCAACTTGGACGGACGTTGGGATGTTTCTCGTTGCGCTGAGCAGCGGATTCGTCGTATTGGCGGCAGCGGTCCGGATCGCGCAGGGGATTGCGTGGGTGATCCAGATGGTGCAAGGCCTACTGGGGGGTTTGATTGCGATTCTCGGTTCCTGACAGCCGGTGGTGACGAAAAAGGGAGGTTGTGGAGGAAAGCTTGGCGTTGGAGCCCGACCAACCGCCGATCGGCGCTGTAGGGACCAGGTCGGCTGGGTGAGGCGCTACGACGGCCATACTCCGTACATCGGCTGGGTTGGGGGAAAGCAATGTTTGATAAGACGGAGGCCGAAAGCGCAGTGTCAAATGCACATGATACGAGTCGAACGGGCGCTGTTTGAGCTTGTGTGGGGTAGTGGCAGGCCAAGCATGCAGCTTGAAGGAGATCAACCCTCTCAAGTCTTGAGACTTGATTACCTTGCTTCTCGAGTGCTTGGACGAGGTTGGCAATGGCAGCACGAATGCAATGGCAGGTGGCGGAGTTGTTGACGGGTTGACGAGTTGGCACGAAGTATTGATATGCCGGTATGGCTATTCTCATTAATGAAACAGAGTTGCACCATAGAACGAGCAGCCCGGGTATGCTTTTGCAATGTATGATGAAGTCGGCACCTCGGGCTCGGGTACGGATACGGGTAGACGTTATTGGGGAGGGTAGATGGTCTCCGGATTAGCTTGGAGCGCTTGTTGGGATGACCGTAGGAGGACCGGCCGATGCGGTGAAGCTGCCACTGCCTCATGCCGGACCTGGACATTGCGTTTTGCGACAGCAGCGGCGGGCGATCGAGGCCCTATCATGTTATCGCGCAGTTCTGCAGCGTCATCATCGAGTAAGCCTCGGCGGGCGGATGTTGCATCCAGCTCCAGGATGGGATTCAGGGATTGTTGGTTCACTGTCACTTTTGCTTGGATGAATGGGCGACACTCCGTGATTCCGTAATCTGGTACGTACTCCTTTTCAAGGAGGAAGGAGGTCTTGGGATTGAGTGCCTTGAGTGCTACTATTCGTGTACGAAGTACAAATGTGAGGACAGAAGTAGAGTTGATTAGTGCACAAAAAAAGTGCCGGGCGACAGGAATAAGATTGGAACCGTTGAGAGGCAAAAGAGCGAGTTGAAGTGCTGCAATGCAGCATCGGCATCGCGTCAATTACGTACATGAGGGGGTTGCGAATGATGCCGGCGCCAGCATTCGGTGTTTTGTTACTGGTCTTGCTGGCGCATGTACTTGATTGAATTGGTATGTATATCCGTACTAATTACACACACACACACACACAGTTTTAGGGCCACCGAGTATCAGAGTGAAGGCAAGAGAGAAGAAAAAAAGTCAGCAACGGCAAACGACGGAACAAAACGGAGACGGCGACTGGGCCCAGCGTGGCATAGAGTACAAGTCGGACACATGAGAATTCAACGAGTTGCTGTTTTGGGCGTCGCTGAGCCCATTGGAGCCCATATTACTCGTCAGATTGCGGGCTCTTTGCGTCTCACGTGCGGGACGTGTAGTCAAGCGGTGGAGATGTCAAGTGCCGTCGTATTAACGGTATCCTCTCCGAGACTGGGAGAGATGTTTTTTTTTTTTTCAAGCATCAAAAGAGTCACACTTTGATGTGGTCTATTGTATGGTGGATAAGTGGCTCCCCCTTTTGACGTGTCCAGTTTTGCCCGTCTCGCCAAACATCCAAGACTTTAGAGATGGAGACGGGACTTGAGTGATGGCTGTGATAATGTGGCGTGTGTTGAGAGGTCTTGTCCGGATACATGAAATGGCCCGAGTTCATGGCAGCATTTGGAAGGTTCTCAACCTTCTCAGGGCGCTCAGAGTGGGATGCGGGACCCCCGGGCCAGGGCACCTTGCGGCGGCGGGCCAATCCGCGGGCGTCATTTGCAAATCAGGGCGCTGTACCCCGCGTTCACAGGTCTTCCGTCGACCGGACCCACTGCTGGCTGGAGCTGGCGCCTCCGATCATCGGACACACTTGGGAACTTTTCGTCCCAAAGCTTCACCAGCACACCAGGTACTAAGGTAGTAGTCACAGTTGATTGTTTCGTTTGGCCCCAGGTAGAGACGTAGCAGCTAGCAAGGTCAACTTCGGGTGTATTTTCTGCATTGCGTAGTGGGAGAAAAGGGTTCTAGGTACCTGCGGTTTGCGGGCACTTTTGCAAGAGGGGCGGGCGAGCGTACGTGCTTCTCTTCCTTGTCGCCCTTGCAAGTCGCACCTCTTTCTCGCTCCGATCTCGTACCTTCGTTCTTTTTTCTCTTTCTCTCTCTGACTCTATGTATCTCTTTACGGAGTAATTTGATTCAGGTGTCCCAACTCTAAGCAAAGCAAGCACCTACCTCAGACACACAGAGGGACGAAGGCCTCCCAGTCCGGCAGATACATATTGAGCTGCTCTTCCCCCCACACCCCTGACCACACTTCTCCTCTGACCCAGGATTTTTCTACGTTTTCTAACCCTTTTTCCATTTCTTCCCTTCCCCCAAACGCCTCTCATCCCACGAACTCTTCTCATCACCTCTCACCAAACCCTCTCTCTCCGTCATCCACTACCCTAGACTCCCAATTGCATACAAACAGAGTCACACACACATACGCACACCCATCGACTGCTCTCACACCAGCTTGATCTTGACAAGGAAGCTTGGGAACCTTCCCCCTCGCACATCCAAACAGGTCCCTACAATTGAGGCCGACTTGAGCTTTTGAACCTTCTCCCCGTCTCCCCGAGTTGCACAAAATGCCCGTTGCCGAAGGCACCCCGCAGACTCTCTACGACAAGGTCCTCCAGGCCCACGTCGTAGACGAGAAGTTGGACGGCACGATCCTGTTGTACATTGGTAAGTTCTGCGTCATGCTGCCTCCCTCCCCTACGATCTGATCTTGATCCTACGCGGGAAACGGGAAAGAATTCATTCGCTGACAATGAGACGCAATGCAGACAGACATCTCGTGCATGAGGTCACCTCTCCTGTACGTTTGACGCTTGCTCCTGTTTTTTTTTCCCACCCCTCGTCCCCCTTCGCTATCCGCTGCCACCGCCGCCTTCGCACTCCGGCTCGGATGACGTCGGTTGATCGACCCCACCATGACACCTCGCTAACAAAGGGCTGCAGCAAGCATTTGAGGGTCTGAAGAATGCAGGCCGCAAGGTCCGCCGACCGGACTGCACCCTCGCGACGACCGATCACGTAAGTCTTCTTTTTCTTCCAGTTCCCACACGCGCATGCGCATGCGGAAAGCATCGCTCTCGCCCGCTCAATGTCAGTTTCGCCGTGATGATATAATCGCTAAGATGTGGCTGGCCAGAATGTCCCTACTTCATCGCGGAAAGGCATGAAGGACATCGGCTCCTTCATCGCCGAGGATGACTCCAGAGTTCAGTGCATGACCCTCGAGGAAAATGTTAAGGACTTTGGCCTCACATACTTTGGCCTCGGCGACAAGCGCCAGGGTATCGTCCACGTTATCGGCCCCGAGCAGGGCTTCACCCTCCCCGGCACCACCGTCGTATGCGGTGACAGTCACACCTCGACTCACGGCGCTTTCGGTGCCCTGGCTTTCGGAATCGGTACCAGTGAGGTCGAGCACGTCCTCGCAACCCAGTGCTTGATCACCAAGAGGAGTAAGAACATGCGGATACAGGTCGACGGAGAGCTGGCCCCCGGCGTCAGCTCAAAGGATGTTGTCTTGCACGCCATTGGCAAGATCGGAACGGCTGGCGGTACCGGTGCCGTTATCGAGTTCTGCGGTTCCGTCATCCGCAGCCTCAGCATGGAGGCTCGCATGTCTATCTGCAACATGTCTATCGAGGGCGGCGCGAGAGCCGGCATGGTCGCTCCCGACGACATCACCTTTGAGTACCTGAAGAACCGCCCCTTGGCGCCCAGGTACAACTCGGACGAATGGCATAAGGCCGTCAAGTACTGGAAGTCTCTCCAGTCCGACGCCGACGCAAAGTACGACATTGACGTCTTCATCGATGGCAAGGACATCATTCCCACCATCACCTGGGGCACGAGTCCCGAGGACGTCATCCCCATCACCGGCGTCGTCCCCGACCCCGAGACCTTCTCCACGGAGAACAAGAAGGCTGCTGGCCGCAGAATGCTTGAGTACATGGGCCTGACTCCCGGAACCCCCATGGAGGACATCCCCGTCGACAAGGTCTTTATCGGATCCTGCACAAATTCCCGTATCGAGGATCTGCGCGCCGCGGCCCACATCGTCAAGGGCAAGAAGATTGCCGCGAATATCAAGCGCGCCATGGTTGTCCCTGGCTCTGGTCTCGTCAAGACCCAGGCCGAAGCCGAGGGCTTGGACAAGATCTTCGAGGCCGCTGGCTTCGAGTGGCGTGAGGCTGGTTGCAGTATGTGCTTGGGCATGAACCCTGATATCCTTGCCGCCAAGGAGAGATGCGCGTCCACTAGCAACAGAAACTTTGAGGGTCGCCAGGGTGCCGGTTCCCGCACTCATCTTATGTCCCCCGTCATGGCTGCTGCTGCCGGTATTGTCGGCAAGCTGGCTGATGTAAGAAAGTTGGAGGGATACCAGACGAGCCCTAAGCTCCAGGCTACCATTACCCCCGACAGCGAACCCCAGGTCGATGAGCGGGTCGAGGAGAGCGACTCCGAGAAGGAGGCCATTGCCGACCAGCCCGAGGACAACGAACCCCATACCAACACCATCTCGGCTGGTAGCTCCACGGGCCTTCCCAAGTTCACCAACCTCAAGGGTATCGCCGCCCCCCTGGAGATGTCCAATGTTGACACGGACGCCATCATCCCTAAGCAATTCCTCAAGACCATCAAGCGCACCGGTCTCGGCAGCGCCCTCTTCTACGCCCTCCGCTTCAATGAGGACGGCTCCGAGAACCCCAACTTCGTCCTCAACAAGGACCCCTACCGCGGCTCCAAGATCCTCGTCGTCACCGGCCCCAACTTTGGCTGCGGTTCCTCGAGAGAGCACGCCCCCTGGGCCCTCAACGACTTCGGCATCCGCTGCGTCCTCGCGCCCTCGTACGCCGACATCTTCTTCAACAACACCTTCAAGAACGGCATGCTGCCCATCATCATGTCCGACAAGGAGAAGCTTGAAAAGATTGCCGACGAGGCGCGCGCCGGCCGCGAGGTCGAGATCGACCTGCCCAACCAGCTCATCAAGGACGCTGACGGCAACACCCTCGCTTCCTTTGACGTCGAGGAGTTCCGGAAACACTGCCTCATCAACGGCCTCGACGACATCGGTCTGACCATGCAGCAGAACGACAAGATTGCCGACTACGAGCGCCGCATGTCCCAGCTCACCCCCTGGCTCGACGGCACAAACTACCTCAAGAGAGATCCCAAGACCGGTCGCCTCCTCGCCAAGGCTGTCCCCGTCCCCAAGACGAACCGGGGCGAGACAAAGAAGGAGCCTCTTGAGTGGTGAGGTACTTGGAGACAGGAAAACAAAAAAGAAGCAAATAAAACCACAAAAAAATCGGATGGGCTTTTTTTAAAAAAAAACTAGGGAGTTCAAATCATGTAACGTGTCTACGATACGAATCTGGGTTACGGCTTTTTTGCGGGTACATGTTCACCTTGTCCAGAGATGATTTTTCTTCATCAGACTGGCGGCGATATTGGGAACTATTTAAACAAGGGATGGATTTGATTTTTAAGTGGCTTTTTCTCTGGTATCAAAAGCCATGAAAAAAAAGTTTTCGACAAGTTAGATGCGCAGTTCGTCACAATAACGGAGCTTTCGCAGCACAACATCTTCAAATCTCATGACGTGTTGATTGATCTTGACTTTTGTATATCTTCAATGGATATTGTGAAATCGCGAGGACGCTGTGTATTCATCATTAGACGTTGTAATGATGCTGATAGTATGGCCTGGATTCCAACCACTAGGAATATCTAGAAATCCCACCCAGCTTCCCTCAAGATCCCAACATGCACCACAAACCCAGACTCAATCCGCAACCCCTCCGGCAGCAACGCATCCGGCACGCGCCAGGTTCGAAAGTCGCGATGGAACGCGCCGATCCATTCCTCAAAGACGTCGGGGCTGCGGAGCTGCTGCGCCACGATGCAGACACACGGCTCGGACCGGTCCGCTGCCGTCGTTGAAGAGGAGGAGGCGTTGTTGTCGGCAGCCTCGTCTTCTTCTTCGCGGTCTTGTTTCTGAGCGCGGAGCCGGAGACGAGCGAGGTCGGCGGTGGTGGAGACGAGGGGCTCGACGAGGGCTTCGTTGTAGATGCAGTCGCAGCAGATGACTGCGTCGAAGGAGCGGGCGGTGGTGGGGGGGACGCCGGTTAGGGAGGGGTCTGGGGTGTCGGTTTCCCAGTCTAAGGGGTGGAAGGAGATTGTTCCGGGGGTTGATGATGATGATGAGGAGGAAGAGGTAGTTGTTGTTGAGCTTGCTGCTTTTCGTGAACGGCGCGAGGTTGACGAGTGACCCGAGGACGAAGACTTGGGAAGGGGATTCGCTTCGAGGTTCTGGTGGATCATGCGCGCGACGTAGGGCTGGTCTGTTAGGATGTAGCGGGCGATGCGCGGGGCGAGGAGGAGGGCTGTTAGGGGGGAGATGCCGCAGCCTAGTTCGAGGACTGTCGAGGTTGGTGTGAAGACTGGCGAGAAGGGGGAGGTTGGGGATGAGAGGTAGGTTGCGAAGAGGGGTGTTATTTTCCAGAGGACTGTTTGTTTGGGTTGTTTTTAGCCACGATCTTGACTTGAGGGATTGAGGTTGTTGTGTGTTTAAGGCTAAGAGATGAGAGGTGATGCAGAGAGATAATTTGAGCGAGGAGAGATGAGATTAGTAACAGAGGTGAGATGAGTAATACGAGTGATGTGAGGTTGAGAGTAAGTTTTGACTTTAATGACAATCGGGAATTTGATGAATAAACGGGGGACGCGAAATAGGGTTGTAAAGTGTGAAATGAGAGGTCTGTGAGAATCGATCTAGATCCATGGAGAAATATAGAAATACTGACCGGCCCCTGTCGTGCCTCCAGCGCGGGTCGATGAGAGGACCGTGGGGGACTGGTGGATCGTGAAGTCTCTGCCCGCCAGCGTCAGGGAGAGTTCGGTAGCCTTTGGGTCGATGAAGCCCAGGTTCGAGGACGGGATGTTGTGGGAGAAAAGGAAAAAGGTTTCTGTTTGGCACATTGAAGAGTTTCCCGTGTAAGTCGTTTTACTGGGATACGAAGTCTTGTGATTGGGCAGTAGGATGACTTACCCTCTTCGGGGTCAAGGATTTCATCCTCTAGGGTTGAGATGAGAGCTTTTACGGCCATTGTTGCTGGCGATTCTCTGAGCTAGAACAGAGGGGGGAGGGGGGGGGCACGGAATGAGGCTAGATGAGGATAATGCTGAATATGTTGGTACGGTCTACGGCTCCATCTTGGCATGTCTGCTTAGCGACCTGATGTGATTGCAGACAGGATGTCGGAGGATCGGACCGCGCGCGCAGGTTGCGGAAGAACGGACGCACGGGCGGGCTGAATGTGGAGAGTGAGAGATTTGGGGGCAGTTTTTCGGCGAAAAAACGCCGTGGGGCTCAATTCCGACGACATGTCTTCCGGGGTCCCTGGCTTAAATTGGAAACCTGCATCAGCCCGTTCAACCCGATCTGTCAATCCCCTTTGAGGAAATTCTTTTAGAAGGAAACAAACTTTCCAGGGAAGGGGAGACTACTTGTGGAAAACGCGTAAAGTCGGATTTCTCGCTTCTAACTCGGATCTTTCGTAGAGCTGGCTTCTGAATCTCATAGTATGATGGCTCTGGTCCAAGACTCGATTTGCACGCACAAGGGAAGGTTGTGATTTAGTATCAGATAATTCACATTGCTTTCTACCACTCTCACTCTAAGAAGTATGGAATATAGTAGACAAACAGCTGCTCCTCAAAGGTTCCAGGTTAGGCGCCAGTCTTTCCGTGCCGGGCCAAAGTCTTCTGCAGAGCCTTCAGCAGACTGTCGAATTAGCTTGCCTCCCGTCATACCGAAAGATATGAAATTCTTCCCAATGCAGCTGTATTTTATTTTTGACAGAAAAGCTAGAATGCGTTAGCAATGTTGTTCACAAATCGGCAAAAGAGCATATAAGGAATGATCCTTACAAGTTTACACTCTTTCTTCTAAGCAACCCATCCCCAAATGTTCTTGATGCTCTTGCAGACATCAATGGGCGCCTCGTTCTGCTCAAAGACGAGATCGCAGACCTGGTTCTTGGCGGGGGTGACCCAGCAGGCGTAGTTGCCGTCAAAGTCGATGCAGATGGTGGCGGCGAAGGCGCCGCCGCCGCCGCCCTGGTGGATCTGGCAGTTCTGGTTGAGGGTGGTGACGACCTGGAGGTCGCGGGACTGCCACTTCCAGTTTGCGTTGTCGACGCTCTCGAAGCGGAAGCCCGTGTTGGACTTGCGGGTCTCCGGATCGAGGGCCTGGGTGCAGTAGTCTGCGGCGACGAAGGAGGCGCCGAGGAGGATGGTGGGGAAGAGGGTGGAGAATTGCATCTGTGGAAGGGGGTTGTGGCTTGGTTAGTCTTTTTGTGTCTGAAGAGGCTTGGTTTGGTTAGGAGTGGGTGTTATCTTACCTTTGCGGTGTTGGGTTGGAGGAGTTGAGTCAAAGTGTTGATTGGGGTATGAGTGATTGGAGGAGGTGGCAGAGACCGTGAAAGAAAGTGATGGTGAGATAGTGACTGTGGTAGTAAGAGACTGGATGATGCAGTGTGAGCTGTGTGATGAAGACCTTTTGGATCGAGTTACGGTGGTGATTTTGCCAACACTTATACTCATGGAATGGAGGCATCTAGATCATCCATCTTGGCATTACGGCATCATGGCGTGTAAGTCATTTGCGAATCCGACGATGTCCCCAAAATAACACTCTGTTTTGAGTTGAGTGTGATTATGATCTAGACCGAGAGCTCCGACATCTTGGTCACTTGTTCACTGCCTCAATCAGAAGAGGAAGAGTGAACTGCAGTTCGATATCTTCATAGTCTCCATCGAGTCAAGCAAGTCTTGGGGACCCTCGAGAGGCGCAAAAGTCAAATTAATTATAGTAGACTAGTATGTGAGTTGAGAAGATTACTGAACTGCCGGTGGGATCGCATAAGGTAACCTCGCCCACAAAATAGACTTCGCACAATAGAATCCGCGGGAAGCATACTGCGGGATCGGGCTTTTACCCCACTCACGGACGGGAGACGGACTTCTAGCTACGTAGTACGCAACGGCATTGGAACGTGTCTGGATCCATAGGGCAGTGAGTGTGCACGATAGGGGGCGAAAAGTGATTAGAAGAGGTCTATGTGAAAGAGGGCCCCTGATTCATATCTTATTTGCGAGAGCAGATGCATGCCAAATCCCAATAGTCTTTTGTCCATCTAAGGCGCCTGCTCAAGTTTGCACCCCATGACCCTTCTAAAAACCATCATCACCAAGTCCTTGGCCTCCTCCTCTCCAACCTGTACGGGACCGCTACCCTGATCCCACATAATCTCCGTAATGTCCGCCCCGTAGTCAGCCCCCTCCGCCACGGGCCCGGGCCCATCCGAAACTGCTCGGGTCGATGCCCTGATTTGAAACTGCTCGTGGCCGGTCCAACTCCGGTACACATGGACCACCATAGCGCCCTGCGCATCTGGTCCGTCCGAACGACACATCCAATGATCTTCCATCGACGTCGGCTGGTAGCCGAACAGGAGCTTGGCGGTGTCTGTGCTCGAGATGCAGAGTGTCCAGGCCGCTGTGGCGGGATTGCCGATGGGATGGAGGTCGCCCCAGTTGGAGCCGGTGACCCGTTTGGATGATGACTCGCTGGGTGTGAGAGGAGAGACGGAAGTTGAGGAGTTGCCCATGATGTTGGTGTGATTGCTAAAACAGCAGAGTTGAAAGAGATGGGATGCGCCGGATACGTTCGGCAAGTTTGGTGGGTTTGAAGAGATTGAGAATGTGCAATGGAGTTACTTGATAAGTCGATGTCGTTACTGCTAAATTTGGGCCTATTTGGAATGAGGATATTATACAAATGGATGTCTACCAGTCCCAGTTTTTGTCTACTGTTCGGCCCGATGCATTCAGCATCTTTGTAAACCGACGATCCCAGCCTCAGAGGCTCAAGGAGAGTCTGACTACCTCTTAGTTGGGTATTTTAAGGCTCCATCTGGGATGGACACGCGTAGCCTTAAACCTTATTTGTTTTTGAGTCTCTTGTCCCAGCCATTCGGGCTTCGTCGGAGTCCTACCCAATTTCAGATGAGATATCGGGGTCTTGGCAATATACCACGAACAGAACATGATCGCCAATTAGTCCAGGTTAGCCTGTCACAACTTTGGAAAGTCCTGTTCTAGAAGGGATTTGTTTTTCATTGATGCTTTCCTCTCTCAACTAGAGTCTAGCCATCGCAGGCGAGTGACTTGTTCTCCAATTTTGTCGGCCTTTACAATGACGGTTTACAAATCACTCCGACTCCGTCTAAGACCTTACCCGGCTCCATCGGTTTCGGATTCCATTGTTTTCAGAGTTCAAAGTACTAGCAAACGACCAACTAGTCTAGTCTTGGCAAAAATGTAAAGATATTCGTATGGATACGAAGGCTTCTAAGAATCGTAACTTCTTTGAATACAATCAATCTATTTGTTTTTTCATGCGCCTGAATTCATACTAGACTCGTCTCGACATGACTCTCGAAAGTTGAAGTTATCGTGTAAGTGTCACGCAGAGTAAAACGTGGTTGAATGATTTGCGGAAAGATCGGAATCCGCGGACTGTGTCTGCGGTGTTCTTCCAGAAGAACTCCTTGCTTGGAAGATCAAGAATCGTGATATAAACCAGTCAAAATCCGCAGTATTCCTCACAATGAACTCAACACACAACAAGGCTTCAGATCTTACATTCTCTTGCTACACAATCATTTGACAAACCTTTCACATTCTTTTGAACAGTCTCTCTTTATCATTCAACAATGGCTAAACAGCAACCCCTCGTGCTTGGGCTGACGCTCATTGCTTTCTGGGCCTTCCTATGCAATGGTCTCGATCTCTATCGCGCAGATTCGAGACCCTACGCTACCATCCAGGCATCCAAGGGCTTTTTGCCCAAGGGCCAATCCACCTTTGGCGTCGCCGCGCCAGACACCAGCCTGTGGAACCACGTCAACGGAGCCAGCACCGGCTTCAGCAAGGACGAGGACGGCTACGTCTCCACGACCTCGGACCGCAACCTGGCCGAGACCTGGGTCAACCGCTTCCTGGGCGGTAACGGCTTCGTCTACCGCATCCACTCGGCCCCCAACATGATTGACTGCCAGGGCACCCTCCAAAAGTACAACCCGTACCCGCAAGAGGCCGAGTTCGCCGCCCTCGGCGGCATCAAGGACAACCAGATCATCGGCTGGACCCCTGTCCGCGGCGGCGTCAAGGGCAAGGAGGAGCTGAACCCCTTTTACCAGGGCAACATTTACAGCAATATGGGCACCGGCGGATCGCAGTACAAGCTCGCCGCCTTCCCTCCCAACCACCCCGCCTGGGGTGAAGCCCCTTGGTCGCAGTTCTCCTCTTGCACGCGCAGACGTTCCGCTAGAGACCTCTTCCAGATCGAGAAGCGGGCTTGCTCTGCTTCCAAGAGCAACGTGGACTATGCCAAGGAGTACCTCGAGTACGTCGAGGCCATCTGCCCTGGTTGCCAGTAGTGTTCTCAGCCACTACTATGGATTCTCTCGGCTCTTTCAAAGCACCCAAATGACCTGGAATTTGAAATGAAAGGATTCCTAACTTGCTTCTGGCCAATATTTCCTAAACAGCAAGCTTTCCGCGATTGTCAAATGTGGATTCTCTGTTTGTATATTCCTTCGACAGCTTGTAACGCGAAGAATGTTGTTAGACCAAATAGGCGATATGTCTTGACAATCCCATATACATATCAATGCAAATACAACTTTCGCCTCCTTGATCCTCAAGTATGTGCAAATCGTGGGGAACTAATGCATTCACACGTAATTGAGCTAGCTTCGGGTTAACATAATGTGTCCTGGGTTGTATAAATTCAAGATAACCTGGATCGAGTGATTATTGGCGAAAAGAAAAGACTGTTGCAATAACTGACCTGATTTTGGTTCCTTACACATGCCACTGCTCAATGTTTGCTGCAGCAGAATCAATGCCGAAACATCATAATCTAAACGTTAACCATGATGCCAAGCAATTCAAAACGCCGATTATTTTACAATAAGAGCACAGCCTGGATGGCTCAAAGAATATAACTTTAAAGAAGCCACAATACTAGCAAGCTATCATCGCGACTTATAACTTCGCTCTTGAAGAAAAGTCTACGTCTTTGTATCCATGGTGATCTTCAACCTGGTCTGTATCTCTGATACTAGGCCGCGATAAAGAAACCCTAGGTAGTCGAACACTTTTTGGCCTCTCTTTCTTTCTCAGAGTCGATGCTAGAACTTGAAGGTCCATTGTATGTGGTCCACGGCGGTTATGCGGCTTAGTATCTCCACTAGAGAGATCTACGTTGCAGGGGGAAAATGCGCAAGCAAAAGCTTCAACTAGAAACTTGAGGGCAATCAACTCCCCATTACGTACCAAATTGACAACTCGGTTTGTTCGCTAAAAACAAAGAACTATACCCAAACCATTAAGCGATACATTAGTGGAATTGCTTATAACGTAGCTGCCGAAGCCTTTGCCGGGGCACCATGACTCACTTGGTGAATAGAAGCGAAGAGTTGTGGGGCTCTGCAATGTCTCAATTTCTCAACCCGTTTTTGATGTAGAACACGTCAGATCAACGAAGGGCGTATGTCAAAGTATTTCAAGCATTCGAGGAGTTTTGTTTTTTTGGCTTCGACGATGTTCTTTGGTCACATGTTTCATGGTCGCTGTCAATTTGCTCTTCTTGATGTTCAGTTGCGACAACCGTCTGAGAGCCTCTAGTTGGTCTGATTTCCTGATGCTCCCGAAGTGCCGACTTGAGCTCCGCCGAAACTCCTCCTCCCGTCTTTGAACAAAAATGGCCGGATATAACAGCAAATCAATATCAGACAGCCGTTTGGAAGCTGGGTTTTCGCAACGGAATGCCACAGAACATGAACATGGGAAAGGGTAGGCTAAAGGTCGCCAGTTCCTGAAGCGATCACCACCCCAACCCCAGCTTAACCCAGAGACAGAGGCTGACCTTACTCAGTCGTTACATCATTGTAGTCCTTGCTGCCTTCATGATTAGTTTCATGACGGGTGGCTTGCAATTCGGCTTCGGCATCTATCAGGCGCATTATGAGACGATGGCACTAGAAGACGACACCCCATTCACCGGTGCCACGGCCGCCCGGCTCGACCTCATTGGAACCCTCGCGATCTCAATGATGACTATATGCGCACCTGTAGTTGTGGCATGGTCAAAAACTATTGGCCCCCAGAAAGTCATGTGCGCAGGCGGTCTGCTAGTAGGAGTGGCCAACGTCCTGGCAAGTTTCGGTCGGGAGCTGTGGCATTACCAGATTACGCAAGGGTTCTTGATGGGAGTGGGATCTTGTCTCTCGTTCGTTCCGTCAATGGTCGTCGTCCCGACTTGGTTCGATAAGCACAGGGCGCTGGCCATGGGCATCGTCTCTGCAGGCAGCGGCGTTGGCGGTCTGGTCTGGGCTCCTGTGCTCGTGACGTGCATCGAGAAGCTGGGGTATCGGAATACCCTTCGTATGACTGGCACTCTCGGTGCTGTGGTTGTTTGTGTCTGTGGAGCTTTGCTTACCTGGGAACCTGCAATGGCGGCCCGCATACGGAGCGAGAACACGACGACATCTAGATTGAAGAAGATGTTCAAGGTTCCTATGCCACCATGGAAGACTGTCAAGCAACGCAAGTTCATTGCGCAAAGTTTCAGCATGTTCTGCCAGAGCGCCGCATATTACACACCGGCGTTCTTCTTTGCGTCGTACGCTAAGACCTTGGGATACTCGGACAGCGACGGTGCCAATCTGACTGCCGTCAATAACGCCTGCAACGCTGTCGGGAAGATTGCGATTGGGCTCGTGGCAGACCGCATCGGAAGGCTCAACGCTCTGTTTCTCACGACTGTGATCTGTGCCGCCGTCACTCTCGGGTTATGGGTTCCTAGCATAGCGATCGGGATGAGCCATGAGTCTGTAGCAAGGTCGCTACTCGTCAGCTTCACAGTTCTGTATGGCATTTTCGCAAGTGCATACGTCAGCTTGTTTCCACCGGCTCTGGTTGAGCTGTTCGGCATGGAATTGATGCCGCAGATTACTGGGATCATGTACATGATCATGGGTGTGGCTTCCATGATTGGAACGCCTGTGGCTGGTGCCCTGGTCAGAGGGCACGGAGAGATCAAGGAATCGGGTGACTACATGGGGATGGGTATCATGGTAGGTACTCTCATGGCTGCTGCAGCTATATTTGTGGCTTGGATGAGACTAGAGGCCACGGCAGACCGGGCTCAAGGGGGACGAAAATGGGTATGGAAGCTGTAAGCATCGGTAGTTGAAAGGCAGTGACGGTGCTGCTTTACGCAGAGACTTCTACACTGGAAAGTGCTTGTCCTTTCTTGAAAAAGAGTCACTCATTGATCCGAGAGCTAGAATGCTCTACATTGGAATCGAATGGCCTCCTTGACATGTGCCGAGGCAATCAGAGCAGCCTTTAGCTTGAATGGTAACTTTGTTCAATCATTCTGATTCCTAGATGTCAGAAAGTCAATAAATGACTAGGCTAAGCAAACCACATGCCTTTCAGCTCTAGCATCAGTGAACTCTCACTCAGGTTGACGGAAAGCGTTTGTAGTTGGACTCTTCCACCGCCCGCCATGTTGACCGTGCAGAGTACTTCTCAGGCAGCCATCTCGGCTTCCCCTTAGGCGAGCCGAGCAGACAGCCGTGATGCATAAGTTGTCAAGGGTTCTTTACTTGCATATTCTGTCTTTTATCTAGCTTTTGACCTCTGCGTTTGTTCCCACCCAGTTGAGCGATGCCATGGGCAATGCTCTCCCGCAAAGCAACTTATGGAAGGCCTGGGCGACGCTGGCAGCAGGCAAACGCGGAAGGAAACTTTTTACAAAACCCTTTCCAGGCCCCAGGAAACTTCCTCTCCTTCTCTCCTTCTCATACAAAGTCTCCGTTCTCAAGATACACGGAAAGACTTCTGACATAATCGTTGGCCGCCATCGTCTTCCACCTTCGACACCATGGCACCTGTCCAATCCAAGACGCAGGCCACTGGCTTGGGAAACCGAAACCTCTTGGACAAGATCGACAAGTTGAGAGAACTCGGAATAGCCAGGCAGATTGCTCTTCCTCAGGTACCTCGCCTCATTCTTTTAATGACGCCTCATGCTGACCCAAGCCGCACACAAACAGCTCGTCGTCGTAGGAGACCAGTCCTCTGGAAAGTCAAGCGTTCTCGAGAGCCTCACTGGATACTACTTCCCCCGATCTGTCGGTCTTTGCACTCGTCACGCCACCGAGATTGTCTGTCGTCGAGAAAACACGCCCGGCATCGTCGTTACCATTCAGCCTGCCGATGCCACCTCGGAGAGGACCGAGCTTGCCAGATCGTTCCGACGTGAGCTGAAGGAACTCAAGGGACAGGCGTTTGCGGATGTTCTTCGGGAAGTAAGTTGGCTGTTTGTTCCATAGCTACCTCTTTTCTTCATCTTGGATCCATTCAACGGACTTCCTGTGTCATCTCCCAGCATTGCCAGCTTCCCGTCGTAGTCAGTGATAGCTAATCGATGACATAGGCTGCCAGGGTGATGGGCTTGAAAAGCGATGAGAACTCCGAAGGTGCTGCCTTCAGCAAGGATGTTCTTCGCGTTGAGATTTGCGGCCCCAACGAGGAGCACTTAACAATCATCGACGTTCCTGGTAGGACCAAACTCTACTGCTCCTAGCGCTTGCAGCTAACATGAAATCAAAGCATTTTTGAGAACGCTCAAGATGGTATGAGAATATTCCCATGATGTCTCTCACCTTTTTCTCCTTTAACCTCCTTACCAGGCGTTTCGACAGCCAGAGATGTTGCCTTGGTCAAGTCCATGGTAAAAGATTATATCAAGGATTCCAGAACCATGTGAGCACCCCTCTCCTTAGGTATGTGCGACTGCTAACACGGGCCATCTAGCATCCTCGCAGTCATCCCTTGTAACGTGGATGTCGCAACCCAGACCATTCTGACCTATGCTGCTGAAGCTGATCCCGAGGGCAAGCGCACTCTGGGTGTCCTCACAAAGCCGGACCTCGTCAGCGAGAACGCCACCCGCGAGGCAGCGATGGATCTCGTTCGAGGTAAGAGACGAGACATCCAGCTGGGATACTACGTTGTCAAGAATCGCGGCGCCGACGACTCTTCGTCCAGTAAAAAGGACCGGGATTCCGACGAGAAGATATTCTTTGCTGAGGAGCCCTGGTCTCGACTCGACCAGTCTCGCTTGGGAATACCGGCGTTGCGTATCCGATTGCGAGGACTACTTATGGACCGGACCAAGAGCGAGTTTCCCAAGGTCAGACGTGAGATCAATGACCGTCTTGCCGAGGCAAAGGCCAAGCTTGAGGATCTCGGGCAGCCCCGAAGCAACGCTGATGAGCAGCGAGCTTACCTCGGCAAGATTGTGAGTCGCTTCACCGAGTTGAAGAACTTCGGCGTGGATGCCTATTATACGGGCGATCCCATCTTTGACAAGCATCCAGAGTTTCGCCTTGCCACTCGCATTCGCGAGATGAACACGGCTTTCTCGTCGATGTTCTTCAAGAGCGCGCACACCCGCAGTTTTGATGACCTTGTCGAGAAAAGGTTGGATAAGACAGACGACCCTGAGTCCGACGCCAAAGAGGCCGATGATGAGGTTGAGGTCAAGGTCAAGGCTAAGGCCGCCCACATTCCAGACGATGGTGAGGATGGAGATGCTACAAGAAACGACCTCTACCGTATCGCATTCACAGTGCCAGCTGATGTGTATGGTGAGCTTGATACAGTCCTGACGGACCCTTGCAAATGTCCTCCTCCTTTGGATGATAGCATCATGAAGCATCTTCAGCAATTGTATCTCATGTCTCGCGGCTTTGAGATGGGCACTGTGAGTACAAGCCAACGGCATTGTTCGTTATTTCGTGCATTTTGAGCTGATAGAATTGTAGTTCAGCAGCCACATGCTGCCCACGGCCTTCAAGGAGCAGTCCCGGAAGTGGGAGTCAATCACCTTGGCCCACGTCAGCAACGCGATTCTCGTCGTTCACCATTTCATCTACGGCGTGGTCAAAGAGTCTTGCGGTGATGATCAAGTCCTTGAGGCGCTCTGGTCCTCGATTGTGGAGCATCTGACTGCCAGATACCAGGTAGCGATGGACCAGGCGAAGCTGTTGATCCATGTCGAGAGAGAGGGCCGCTCAATCACTTACAATCCGGCCTTTGACAGAGCTCTCAACAAGGTCAAGGCTGACAGGTCCGCCAAGAAGTTCGACGAGCTCAAGATTTGCCTTGATCTCGGCTCCGGACCGACTGATGTAATCCGGTACAGCGACTTGAAGAAGGAAGTGGCTCACGAAGAAGGCACCAGCGCGACTAGTTGCGTCATTCATGATGTTCTGCAGAGCTATTATGAGGTTGCCAGTGCTCGCTTCTCGGACATGATCTGCACCCAGATTGTCGACTACTTCCTTCTTGGCGCAGAGAATAGTCCTTTGAACGTTCTGTCGGCAAATCGCATCTTTGAGATGACGGCTGAGCAGTTGGAGATGGTTGCGGGCGAAGACACCGTGAGCAAGTCTTCTCGTGAGGATTTGAAGAACGACATCATACTCTTTGAGCAGGGAAGAAATGTTCTCCGCACTTAATGTAGGATGGCCTGGGTGTGGGGTTGAAGCTAGATTTAAAGGGAGGGGGGGGCCATTTCCATGTCGAGTAGCTTGCTAGTAGGAGGACAATGCAGGTAGTTCTGGTGTAGATTGCCATCACAGTATCTCGGTTATCTTTCCTGCTGTTCCTTCACTTTCGTGATCGACTTGAACCTGGGGCCAAATCTTGCTGTGTCTGTCAAATGAGTTTATGTCGGGCCTACAGACGACGACAGGATCCTAGCCAAGAAGGTGAATACCAGTATGCATTATCATGACATAGGTAATGAGCGAATAAGGAAGGCGCTCTCGTGAGATGACGCCGTGGACCATCCCATGTGCCCGCCCCGGTCTGATGAGCTGCATTCCATCGTAGCATTCATGCGGTGTATGAGTAAGGATGATTGAATGTCACTGTGTCAGGCGGGCTGATCCGTCCTCGACGTTGGACCGCTCCGTCTATGATGTACCTGCCATACCTGGGGTCGATCAGCCAGCTCGTTCTCGTTTCTTGAGAGGTCGGTTGAAACATGACGAAGTTGGGATAAGCTGCATGGCTACTCTGACCAAAGCCCCGACCTTGGGCAGTGGAAGCAAACGGGTCTGTCTTGCACGAACCATCCCAGCTTTCAGACCCCACGTGGTCAGAGAAGCAGCAATGGACCAGTGTCGGTATGTGGGTTATGAATGGCCTTCTGTCCCGAGCTGTACGGATATGGATTGTGCTTCTGCTCCGGAACCGGAAATGTCACCAAGGGATATCAGATTATCAATCAATGGATTCAGACCGATGCTGCCGGCGAAATTGTGTCTCGTGTTTTCACGACTCCGAGACTCAGTCCCTGATTAGCTGCGAGTTAACCTTACTGGGTATAAGCTGACCTGGAAGGTCGCAACACCGAGTCAATACAAAACACGTTTTATTCATGTCAACCACCATTCACCCACCTTTTCGGCCCCTCCAGCTCGGGGTGGCCCCTCTCTTCCCTACCGATAAGATGCGGCGAGTAAGACAACCTGGAAGATGTGCGGTATTTTGGGGGTGGAGCCGGCAGGGGAGAGAAGGAGGAGATCAAAAAAAAGCTTATGGAAGCTTGTTCCAATTCCAACGTCGCAACGACCCACGTGACTGCGCTAAGGTCCTGAAAGGAAGCCAAGAGGGGGCAGTGGCCCCGGTGTGGTCCGCTCCACGTTTGGGGCTAATGTCCGCCCGACATGCCGCACCCGAGAGGAGCACGCCGTGGCCCCGACTGGGCAACGTTGAAACGTCCTTTCTTCGCTTAAGCCAGCAAGCAAACGCAAACCCGTACCTTATTCCTCACGTTTTACGCATACAACGTGGGCAAAGGAGAAACGCCCAGCCAGCTAGCTGTATTACTCCGTACTGCACCCGCAGACATATCGCAGACATAAAAAAGAAGTCTGATATAATACCAAGGGTTCTCACGGACCATTTCCCCTGAAACCCCAGGAGCGCACATTTGCCGTTGTTCCAAACTACGGATACATACAACGGGACTTTGAACCCAGGCCACACGAGACGAAAGCACATCCCTTTTCGAACGCTCCTCATTTACCCGTACCTCGCAGATACATCATACCTCACATCGACACAACATCCCCATACCACGAACCCAGACCAGACCCCTGGAACCTGGGAAGGAGGGTGGAGGAACAAGGGTGGTGCTGCAGCGGGCGGACCCTTTTCGCCGTTACATACGCAAGCACACAAGCTCACCCATTGACCCGCGGAACCACTAGGCGGACCTCGGATTCCCTTCTTTTCACTCTTTCTGTCTCCTGTCAGGCCAGGCTAGGCTATCCTGTCTCCCGCCATCCAACTGCCGCGATGGGTCGACTCGCCGACGTCGCTACGTCGGCCTACGAGTCCGTGAGGGGCATGCTGACGGGCAAGGCATATAAATACAACGCCATCCCTGACGAGGAGGGTGAGAGGGATGAGGTCGATGAGTATCGTGAGAGCCACACGCCAGACCCGAAACGTCGACTTTGCTTCCTCACAATCGCCGCCATGGCTTTTGCTATCTTCCTCTCATTAGCCTTGGGCTTCAGGTGAGTTCCCATGTCACGTTGACTGCCTACGTGAAACCGTCCCAAATTACAGGCTTGTTGAAACTGACACTGCAAACAGTCTCGTCAGCGGCCAGGCACCGCGCAACGGGCTCGAGTCCATCTCACAGTTCTGGGGCCAGTACTCGCCCTTCTTTCCCGTGCCGTCCGACATCGACGTCGCCACCCCTCAGGGCTGCGAGGTCACCTTTGCGCAGGTCCTCTCCCGGCACGGCGCCCGGGACCCCACCGCCGGCAAGACGGCCACCTACAAGGCGCTCGTCGACCGCATCCACGCCAACGTCACAAACTACGGCAAGGGCTTCGAATTCATCAAGACGTACCAGTACACTCTCGGCGCCGACGAACTCACCCCCTTTGGCCAGCGCGAGCTCGTCGACTCGGGCGAGGCGTTCTACAAGCGCTACCAGCAGCTCGCGGCCGCTAACGACATCTTTATCCGCTCCTCTGGCCAGAATCGCGTCGTCGAGTCCGGGCTGAACTGGACAGAGGGCTTCTTCGGCGCCAAGCTCGCCGACGGCCACAGCGGGCCCGACGGCGGCATCGTCAGCCTCATCACCATCATCCCCGAGGAGAAGGGCATCAACAACACGCTCGACCACGGCCTCTGCACCGCCTTCGAGGACGGCGCCTTCTCCAAAGTCGGCGACGAGGCGCAGGTGCCCTGGCGTGAGGCCTTCACGCCGGCCATCACGGCGCGCCTCAACGAGAACCTGCCCGGCGCGAACCTCACGGCCGAGGACACCATCGCCTTTATGCAGCTGTGCCCCTTCAACACGGTCGTCAACGGCACGCAGTCGCCGTTCTGCGACCTCTTCACGCTCGAGGAGTGGAAGGACCTCGAGTACTACGAGACGCTGGGCAAGTACTATGGCTTCAACGCGGGTAACCCCCTCGGCCCGACCCAGGGCGTAGGTTTCACCAACGAGCTCCTCGCGCGGCTTACAGGGCAAGCTGTTGTGGACCACACGTCGACCAACACGACGATGGACGCCGATCCGGCCACGTTCCCGCTTGACAAGAAGCTGTACGCCGACTTCAGCCACGACAACGACATGATGGCGATTTACGGCACGCTGGGGCTGTACAACGAGACCGCACCCTTGTCCAAGACGAACCGGACTTCGGTGACGGATGCCAAGGGGTTCACGGCCAGCTGGACGGTGCCGTTTGCCGCGCGCATGTACGTGGAGAAGATGAAGTGTGGTGGCTCGGACGAGGAGATGGTCCGGATTTTGGTGAATGACCGGGTGGTTCCGCTTGTCGGGTGCGGCGCGGACGGGCTTGGGCGGTGCAAGCTCGGGGCGTTTGTGGATAGCATGGGGTTCGCCAAGAGCGGAGGGCTTTGGGACCAGTGTTTTGTGTGATGTTTGAATACCCAGGAGTGTTTGCCTAGACGAGGTAGACTTTGCATTACAGCACGGAGTAGGTTGAGGATGAATTCTACAGGCAACTCATTTTCCCAAAACAGTTGAGAGGACATGATCTGCTGAGTACCTGGTACTATTTTGGCTTCATTGAGAGACGGTTGTCAAAAAAGCTTGGGATCAAAATGTGCCGAGTGTCAGTGTCAAGTCAAGTGCCCGGTTAGGTTGGTGGCACCAAGGTTTCAGCTGACAGGGGCGCGCCGCGCATCAAGGTCCGGGTCCGGGTCCGGGTCCGGGACGTGGGAGATCGCCAAGACTTCGCACATGGGTGGGTGGTGCATAGTCTTGTTAGAAGCTGTCGCCTGATCTTGGAACACGAGTGTTGAGAAAATGTACTTTAAGTATCCGTGTAAGAGCATTTTTCGAAAAGTCATTCTGGCAGAGCAAGCATCGTAAGGTAAGGTGGTAGGAAATTTCATATAGCACCAGCTCACCAAGGTCGCAACATATACAGTAAGGTTGATGTTAGTAGTAACCAGTTGAGAGTTGAGTATGTTGGGTAAGTCACTCAAAGCGAGCATACAGTACGATGGGCACTCAAGTATTAAGCTCAAATAAGATGATGTTCACGTACGTAGGTAGATGTTCTGTATAGACTTTCCTTTTTTTTTTTTTTTTCGTAATCTGGTATGAGATTTAAATACATGCATATCATAGAATGGGGAAAAGTACGTTCTTGCGGGACACAAGTTCGCATCGTCCGATGATGGAAATCACGTTACATGTTGATGTCGTTTATGCGGCAACATCCCTGATCAAGGTGAGGATGGAAAGGGATTTGGGATGAACACCACCAAGTTTGCAACTTGAGAAAGAATTACGAGGCAGGTGTTGATCAAATCACATAGAACGTCGGGCCTCATCGCCGTTTACGTCCTCATCCCGGATAGGAGCGAGGGAAGATGGAACAGGGACAAGCCAGACCGAATAGGCTTCTAGTAATTGGGTACCGTATGCCAACGCAGTCCATAAGGTATTTTCCACACATTCATGAGGTGGCTGGCCCACTTACCCTCCTCCCTCCTCGTCAACCGCACCTTCCCTGCTTATCTTACTGTCGATACCTTCCCACACGTGACACACCGCGCGCCACGAGGCTGAAAGGGTATACAACCCCCCTCAACACCATTCCGGTCACCAGCCAGCAGGCGCCCCCTAGATCGGTGGTCAGGTCAAACTGGCTGGGTGGTGGGGTGGTTTATGGTCAACAATTAAATTTCATACGCCAACCAGCCTACTCGACGACAGGCTTAGCGAGAGTACCCGAGTTCAAATCCCAGCAGGAGCACCAAGAGATGTAGCCCCCATTTCAGCACCGGGGGGGTGAACTCTTTTTGGTTTATAGAGATGACTTGTATCAACTATCGCCTATTGTAATTGTACGGCATTAACGCTACTACCTATAGTGAGATATTGTGTGTGGTAGGATCAACTTTTTGATATTCGGAGTTCTAAGCCAGAGTCTGTCTACATTGCAGATCTACATACGATACCCATAACCTGTGATCATTCTCATCTATCTACTACAAAATTCACTCTCATTCATTCATTCGTTCGCTCATCCATCATCAAACCCGCTCCCATCTCCCTCAAACAGAATAATCCAACGCCTTCCCTCCCAACACCCCCCAAAACTCCTCCACAAGCTCCTTCTGTCCCCCCGGAGCCCCCCTCACAGCAAGATATACCCTCTCATCAACAGCAGGCTCCCACACCCCCGGGTTCCCACCGGCCATGATCCCGCCCGCCTCGGTCAAGATACACCACCCAGCACACACATCCCACGCCCAGCACCCGCCCTCCCAATACGCATCCAGCTGTCCCGCCGCCACAGCCGCAAGATTCAGCGCCGCGGAGCCCAGGGCGCGCATACTATGCACCATCGCGCCGCCCGTCTCCTTTGTCGCAGCCAACTTCTTGAAAGTCTCAGCCTTGAGGTCAAAGTTGGGCCCGTCGCGCGTGGATCCCCACTCACACGCCAACAGCGCGGAGTCGAGTCCCTTCAAGGGGATAGGGTTCTTCGCGAGGGGGAGTTTCTGTGTGGGACCGGCGCCACGGCGCATGTAGCTCCCTTTTCCCTGGATACCCGTGAAGAGCAGATCCTGGAAGGGGTTGTAGATGACGCCGACGACGGGGACGTGGTTCACAGCTAGGCCGAGGGAGATGCAGGCGTCCGGGAAGGAGTGGACAAAGTTTGTGGTGCCGTCGATGGGGTCGACGACAAAGGTCGGTTCCGGGCCGAGGCGGGTTCCCTTTGTGTAGGTTTCTTCGCCCATGAAGGCGATGGAGGGGTAGGCTTGGGAGAGGCGGGTGGAGACCATTTTTTCAACGGCTTGGTCTGTTTCGGTTACGATGTCGACGGCTGTTTGGTGGGAGGCGGGAGAAGTTAGGACAGATGTTGCGGCTTGCTTGGTTGAGAGAGGGTTGGGGATAGAGAGGGGAAAGTGCTTCAATGGATGGGGAAAGAGATAGGGATAGGAGGAGGGCAGTCACGAACAGTTGAGCTTGGTGTCTTGGTCGATGGAGGCCGGGTTCGCGGACATGATCATCTTGCCTGCCTCGGTCGCGATCTCGAGGAGGGTGTCGTGGATTTCTTGGAGGTTGAGGTCCGCCATGGTGTTCTGTCGTTGGTGGGTTTTTGAATCCGTGGGGGTAACTACAATCGTCTTATGTTTGGTACTCGAACCGTATGAAGAAATCCCAATTGAGAAAGGAATCAATTGCAGCTCTTGTAGACGTCTGGTATGCTCAAAGAAACGTATTCGCGAGATGGCGGCTGTCGATCAATGTTTTAGAAAGCTCCAAATCGGAGGGTCTTTTTTTGGAGGGGCAGAAGATGGGAGGAGGGGAATGGATGGCGGGGTGGTTTAGAGGGGGAGAGAGGAATGAGGTCACAAAAAGCTGGTCCAAGTTCCTTTGTGGGGAAACAGGCGGGCGGATCTCACCCTCTGCCCACTCTGTCCAGGGAACTCACACCATGTGTTCTTCAGCTCGGTGCGATTGGAGCGCACCTAGTACGGATACCTTAGGTAAAGTAAGGTAATCCGTACTAGGTAATTATGTCCTGGCTGGCCGAGCAGCCACCGGTATCCCGGCCCACCCCGGCGAGGTTCGGGAGGCGTACGGTCACTCCTACCGAGCGGACTTTCTCGGCGGATAATGGAACACGCCGGGCGAGGAGCGCAGTGCTGCAGCAGGCCAATGGCACTTCGTGGACGGAGGAATCATATCAGGCGACATCCGGTACGAGCTCGGAGTCGGTTTCCTCAGTATCCGTACCTACGGAGTACCTCTATTGAAGATGGTTCGCAACGTCGTCACCCAATCAACTGGTGGAGAACCGGTCGACTCTTCATTTCCCCCCGGTATAAATTTCTTGCCCGGACGGTCCGGCGGGATACCGGAAACGGCCTGCTAACTTTTCCTCCCCCAAGTCAGACATGGGCGAGGCTCTTTTTTTGGGCGGTTCATTCTGTTCATATATTCTACCGCGCAAAAAGTGGGCATGAGGCGAGAAACATTCAGAAGCAAAGCAAAGAGAAGCCCAACGCCTTTGAAATCTCATGAGAAGACCATATCTTGTACATTCCCAATCGTGACATGTCCCGGAAACCCAGTTCCTCCCACTTTCCCGGCCCGCTTTCCGTACCCGTTACGCATTGCCCTCCCGATTAAAAAAGACAACCTGCCCTCTTCATCTGCAACTTCCATCCTCTGCTTCAATCACGGCTCTTGTCTAGTTTCTCATCTTTGTGCTTTACGGTCTCCTTAACGGGAAATTTCACAATCGGTTTTCGAGCCTGCGCTACCGTCTCATACGTTCTCCCGGAAGATCGACCTCCGTTCTGTCGGACTCTCGCCGCTGTCCTTTTGCTGTTGTTGTTGCTGCTGCTGCTGCTGCTGCTGTTGCTGCGGCGCACCCGTGTCGACGATCGGCCTGGGGCTGACGCCGCGTAAGCTGATGTTACTCGGCTCGGCATCGTCTTCGAACGGATTCCTGCCGCCGGCCTTGTGGACACCTAGACCGCCGTCGTCATCCCGGCTGAGGCTGCGGCCCCGCGCCGGCTCGTCGTGCGGGTTAGGAGTGGCGGCGAGGTTCATGCTGTAGCTGTTGTCGTTGTTGCTGCCGCCACGGTATCCCAGCTCCTGCTCCTCGTAGTTTCCGTAAGGGCCGTAGGTCTCAGCCTCGTGGCCCACGCGCGCATCCCACGCCTCATCCGGGTCAAGCGGTCCGAAGCCCCGGCGAGGCGCGCCAGCGCCGCCGGAGGGCTGCTCGTAGGCTCCGGCGGCAGAGCGGTTGTTGCGATTCTTGAAGGAAGTGATCTTGTCGTTGAACCAGCCGGCGATGCCACTCGGCGCGGGGCGCGGGGGTCCGTATGACGGCGGTGGATCGGATTTTCGGAAAGGTATGTAGGAGGAGAGGGATGGGGGTGGAAGCTGTTTGTGCAATGCGGGTTAGTCTCAGGACAGAGCATGATGGGGATAGGATGCTGGGGATGGGGAGCCTTGTAACATACACCTAGTCTCCGGGCACGCAGTTGGGTGAAGATGATCCAGCCAGCGCCGCCAACGATGGCGAGGACCAGGATGGCGATGACGATACCTCCAGCGGCTGAAACCATGGTTGCGATTCAATTGCGACGATGCGAGGAAAGTGCGCTTGGCGTTGCGGGGGAAATCGAAGCGTTTCTCAGCAACAGTACGACGATTCAGTAACGACAATGGAGGGTCGGATGGTGTTGGTGGTGGTTGAAAGCGTGCGGCGAATTATGGAGATCCGGCTCATGGAAAGGCTGACGAGTGAGATGGACCGTTAGCAGTGGTTGTTGTTGATGGTGGTGTGTTTCGCTGAGCCGCCTGTTCGTTTGGTCGCCAGAAGCTTTGCTTCTAGGCTATGTGTGCGACACGGACACGGACGCCCGTTAGGAAACAAAGGCGGAGGTCGGGTACTTTGCTGAGTGAGCCCGGCCCGGGAGAGGATGGGTAGAAGACGGACGACACAGGGCGAACAGAGGAGAGCGGGAGAGAGAGGAAGAGAGAAAGAAAGAGAAGGGAGGGTGAAAAAGTATCGGTAAGCTTCGTACCAAAAGTATGATGAGATGAGGTGAGGTGTGGTGGATTGGGAGGAAAGCAGACAGACCAGGCCCGTGGAAACCTTGTTTGATGAGGCAGCGCGCGCTGTGTGTGGTCCGGTGGACGGTGGTGCAGGTGCGGTGCAGGTGTTGCGCAAGACCAGGCAGGTGAGGTCAGCAAAGCAGCAGCCCCCAGGCTTTCAGCTGTACTCCGTACAATTACTGCGTATGGACGGGATACCTACACCAAGGTATTCGGTAGCCTGGCAAGAGGGACCAACTCCAACAATGGCGAGCTGGAGCTAAGGTAACCTATTCGGCAGAGCGGCTTGTTTCCTTGGTGGAGGATTGGGGCAGGGCAAATGCAAGGCAGCTACTCCCGTACTTGGTACCAAAATGCAACAAAGTTGGCGCAGGAGGATGAAGAAGGTGCACCCAAATTGCTCTTGGTTGCAGCTTGCCAATGGAATATCTGCCAATGAAAACGGCCCTGACCCAGTACCTACGGCCCCCAATCCTCTTTAGCTCCGCGGGCTCCGTCAGCGTCCCGCCCGCACCGCAGTCTCCATTCTTTTTCTTCTCTCTCTTTCTCCATCTTAAATCTCCAGGTCATCCTCCACTCTCTTCGCAAATCGAAATGGAAACCCGGTAGCTTGGTGCCTATATGTGGATTACCTAAGGCCATCAGAGCTTGACTGTTGCTGCCCAATCGTCGCTGCCCTGATTTCTCCAACTTTCGTAGTTGGCTTGGTTCTTAAGACAAGGCAACGCAAGGAGTCACTGCGCGCGGGCTGGGTGCTAGGATGCGTGCGCATTCCATTCAACAAGTGCGACACATTCGCAGGGACTTTTTCAACTAAGACAATTTTGGGGGCCACCGAGTCGAAGCTTGATCCGTACAGATATAAACAGCAGCAGTAGCAAGAGACCCAGGTTTACGCCGGACGCAGGAGTTTGAAATGCGCATTCCATTAACCACAAGGCCAATGACGTCTCAATGAGGGTGCAGCTGTAAGCTACCGGAAACGAAACCAGCCTTGCGGATCAGATACCCCTGCCTTTTCTTCCTTGCTGACGCCAATTCGAGATCCAAACGTGGCATGTGTGCGACCCCCGGCGCTATTCATAGCGTGCTCCGTAAACCGTATGTAGCCCCCCTTGCATTTGGTCGAGACAAGAGACTGTGTCTCTCGGCCGGGTCCTTATCGCAGATGCCACCCAAAGTATGATACCTAATCTCTTGAGCGCGATATCTGGTGTCTGAATAGTTGAGGAAGCAACGTGGATGGATGAACCAAGGAAACAACGTCTTTCAGCTGCGGCTGCATGAGGCCTTCTTACCACCCATCCCCTCCGCCTCGCCTTGACTTATGCACATTTCAGTGAGGTACTTCGTACGGATGAAGAGAATGGGACTCTCTAGGGGCCTTGCCACCAAATGGCTCGAGCTCACGCACCCAAGAAACGACATCCCGTCGCGCCATCTGCCATACCTGGACCCTGATGCGTGGTGCGCCCCTGTCAACTGAAACTTTGGTGCCACCACCCTAGCCGGACACTTGACTTGACACTGACACTCGGCATTTTCATTTCCCACATCATGAGACCAGGACGAATGCTGGGGACCACAGCACGTTTTACGATCTGGGAGGTAAATCTACCTATTCCAGCTGTCGGCCAATGAGAGCAGCATATTCACGCGTATCATACAGTCGCAATTGCCTCTCTGGTCACAATTACTCCCGATCGTAGCCAGGCAAGTATAGTACGTATGGCCGTAATAGGCGGCAGAGATCCGGCAGCAGAGGCCCGGAGCGGCCGGAGGCGTGGGCCTGACAGATCCAGCGTTGCTCGGAGTCTAGAGCCGATATAAGTGGGTATGCCTGCCGGATAGGTAGCACTCTATTGTTTACCCGCCCGTCATTCATTCCTAGACGAGCAGAATTATTATGCCAAACTTCTTTAACGCAACCCTTTGTTTGAATGCGTCTATTTTTTTGAGAATGCTGTGTCAGCTCCGCGCTACTTGATAAACAACCAGCGTAGTGTTCAACTGGTACTTGGCTTCGTTTGATATGAAGCCAAGACAACAATTTGTTGATCATCTCTAGCCATAGAAAATCCGAATACGTTGACACGAAGACTTTCAAGGCGGTCATTCGAGTTCTTTGGAAATGTACGTTATTATGCAATCCTGCGATGCAGTAATTTCTTTCTTTCAAACGATTCACCAGAGTTGAGGGGGGTGAGAATCAGGCTGTGACAGGCGGCATGCGCTGGACTAACCGCATTAACGACACAGGACCTCCTCACCTGCAGCAAGGTTCTGCATGTTGGTCTGTTTGAACATGATGTCCCTAATTATAAATCTCAGTTGACCAATGAAGACACTGACTCTGATCAGCCGCTCCTTATCAGAACATCAACTCAACTACAATGATTCCTGAGGGGTTGCGGGAGCAGAAGCTCTCCAGCCTGATTATGTTGCCCGGATTTCCGCACTCTTAAATAGTCTTTGGACACCTGGGAGCGTCGTCAACCGATGTTTCCCGTTCTGCCTCTATGGTTACTTTTGTTATATTACTCGCTGCGTGAAGACTAGGCGCGATGTCCTCTTATCTGCCAGTTCCCACGACTGTGGAATTCCCAGGCGCTGAACTTCGGGACTCCCTGTCCATAAATTCTGAATCCCAGTTGATGATCGATGAAGGCCCTAGGCATTCCGAATCCACTTCACAGCAGTACGAGCTTCGAAATATACCGGCTTCAAGGCAAAGCATGCATGCCATCAATAGAAAACCGGTGCCAACCTCTTCGGCTCCATGGCATTCGCCTTTGCCTGAGTGTGTAAACCTGCGCAACAGCCCTTTAAGAGAGGATTGCCGTGGACCTACCAGTGTCAGCGACATAATAAACGCACAAGAACACGAGACTGGCGACAGCTACAGGAACGACGTTTCTCTGGGTGCCCAGGCAGACACACGGCCGTTCCTACAAGCTGAGGGTCAAGCACACCAGGAAGACGCCATCTCCGAGCAAACTTGTCATTCTTCCTCTCTGAGACTTGGCAATTCAGACAGAACCATTGGCGGCCCAACTCCACACCAGAAATCCTCCTTCATACACCGTCTCTGGCTATGGGAGGTCGCCGCCTCGGCCTTTAGCCTCGCCTGCATGGCATCCATCATTGGAGTCCTGTCCTACGAGCAGGGCCGGCGACTTGACCAGTGGGGTCTGGGCAAAGGATTCTTCTCCCCCACCGTCGTGGTATCCTTCCTTGGAACTCTGGCAAAGTCGGCCTGTCTTCTTGTCCTCACCGAGATCATATCGCAACTGAAATGGCTACATTTTCAGCACAAACCACAGACACTGAGCGACCTACAACTATTCGACAACGCCTCTCGGGGTCCTTGGGGAGCGTTTCAGCTGGTTTCCAGGAGGAACAGAAAGACCATAATCGCCTCGTTTGCTTCCATCTTGGTGATCGCCTCCTTACTGGTGGACCCGTTCATCCAGTCAGTCTTTCGCTTGCCAGTCCTTCTGAGTGAAGTAGAAGGCGTCAGCCCAGGCATCCTGGAGACCCGAGTCTATGATCCAGCGCTCCTGAATGCGAGGTTCGGGCAATGCTACGGCGCCGCGAGTGTCGAATCCGAGATGCAAGCAGCAATACTGGCACCCATATGGAATGCGACTCGAGCTCCATCGCTGCCTTGCAGCTTCGAACGTTGTGACTGGCCAACAATAACCACACTGGGCGTTTGTAGTAGCTGTGAGGATCTTACAGACACCGTGGTCCCAACGTGCATCGTCCATCCTCCTACCGAGATTTGGAGGTTGATTGACTGCAACTACACCGTACCATCCCGCGGCGCTACCTTCAATGCGGTATTTGGCGCCACAGGAGGGGCTTCGGTCAGAGTCCCTTACTCGACCCTGTGGAACTCACTGGCCGGTGAGGACTGGTTCACTAATCTACGAAATGCGTATAATTTTCAGAAAGATCCCACCTTTACGCAATCAGGACCGGCCGTGATTAGTGACTTCACCTTTGTGAAGTTCCCTCCTAATATAATTGCTTACGAATATGTCACTGGCCAGAATGGCTTGCGGACAATCCCTCCAGTCTCACAGGCAATGCACTGTACTCTAGAGCTCTGTGCTCGAACATTCACGACACCTTTCTACGCCAACTTCAGTGCAGCGCCGCTAGCCGGGCCTCGGACGGCTCTGGTGACTACCACAGATGGTACTACACAGGGTAGTGCCGCTCGTGTATTCATTGGGTTGAAGCCGGCCAGTCCAGGCCAAGTATCCGAGGATGTCAAGTTTAGGATCAACTACTGCAACTACAAAGACATCGCCAGATACCTCCAAGACCTGTTCACAACATCCATGAGCACCACCGGTGTGGTCGGAACCACAAACGACAGCTCTACAGCTGGGGCTAGCCAGCTTCGCCAGCGTATCACGCCGGGACTAGGTCTGGCCTTCAGCCAGTCCGACAGCATTGCCGATCTCATGGACGAGGTTGCAGATAGCATGACCGAGGCATTCCGCACATCGGCCAACAACACTGTTCTAAACGGGGTGGCGATGAGCAGCGTAACGTACATCGAGATCATCTGGCCGCGACTGATCCTACCAATCTCGTTGATTCTCTTGACGTTTGTGATACTCATCGTCATGATCATCCGCAATAATCAACGCGGGATGCCCATATGGAAGAGCTCCAGTTTGGCGCTGCTGTTCCATGAGCTTTCCGGCTGGAGCGATTCTAAATCTGCAGTGGTGGCGGCAGGTCCTGAGGAAGTGGAGGAGCGGGCGAGAAGCATGCGCACGAAGATCACGAATGATGATGGAAGGTTGTTGTTCTCCAAGGCAGAGTGAAGTTTTGGGTAATAGAAACGCTTGACGAAGCAAATGCTCCCGCCCTTCGATCCATCTACGTCTGTCATCTTTTCAATCCCTTGACATTGCTGTTTGAAATGTTGTCCAACCGAAGTGTTTCTTGATAAAGGTCTGGAGTCCGATGGGGTGTACATAATCAGTACCAGTGGCGCAAGGGTCATCAACAACTTCGTTCACCAACGTTTTTCGTATGCATGAACTGAAATCAGAGGTTGAAGGTCCTCGCCATAAGTTGTTTCCAATCTCACCTTAACCAGAGATGTTTGCCGTACGAATCATACCAAGATGTTTATTATTTTCATCAGGCGATCGAGCTTGAATTCTGCAATACTTTCTTGTCCTATTTTCCTGAGGCATGGTTGTATACCAGCGAAGTCTGAAAGTCAGGAACAAGTTAAGTGCACATATTTTTGACAATCATCTCATCTTCTTTTTGAGTTCTGATGTATTTGCCAGCTTGGGCCGGTCTTGACGCCTCCCCGCCTCAAAAGTCTGTCTTTACTGGAGCATAGGCCTTCTTTGGACCTTCTTGCTATGGTCCTACGGTCCATCTTCCGCCTTCTGTTGGCATTTGATCAAACCGGAGCTGACTTGAGGCCACCACAAATATTGTTCATGAAAGTACAGGCAGGCAAGCACGAGGAGACGGCACCTACCCCCCTCGGGCGGTCAGGTCAAAACTGGCTGGTTGGTGAAGTGGTTCAGGTCCACAAGCCTACTCCTGGAAAGCTTTGCAGAGGTGCCGTATTCGAGTCCCACCATGTGCACCAAGAGATGTAGCCATTATTCGTCATCGGGGGGGGGGGGGGGGGGGGGGGTGAACTCTTTTGTTTTTTTGAGGGTTGATTGGAGTGATTCGACTATATTCTCAAGGGTATACATAAATACCACAGTCTCGACACACAAGGTAACATAAACGCCTTGGATCTGGGCAAGATATATCGTGATTTGGCACGCGAGGATGATCGGATGCGTGGCGTTCTCCTACTGCAAGCTCATCATCCTGGAAGCGTATTACCTAACCCGAGAAAAGAAAATGAATCCTAGCCTTATGTTATAGTTTGGTGTTACTCTTCAACCTCCCATGTCTATTCCTCTGAGAATACGCCCTAGGTAGCGTAGGAGGGTTCTTGTAGTATGATAGTACACCTAGGTGGTGGTTACAAGAAAAGGGGTCGACAGGCATCCTCTTACGAATAACACCCACTTAAAATTGTTGGCCACCATACCGTCAGAGACGATATGGAGTGGATGATAAGTGCTCAAGGGACGTTGGATATCCTGCCTCTTCGTAGACAATTTATGACTGGCTGTTGATGTGGGCAACCCGAGTACACAGCTTCCATCGCCGCAACTCCATACAGCGCCCCCTTTCACCCGACATAGAACTCGAAATACATTTTCTCTCTTCTCTGAAATGGAAAGAGTTTCTCAAGTAGGACCCTGACCGGCGTCGATCTCGACATGATATGAGCCACTCTGGCAACACCATCAGGTAGGTCCGGCGCAGCCTGCCGGTGGCGTCGGCGAGACAACATGGAGCATCACGACACCGCCCAGAGACGACCCGTGCCACCACATCACATGCTCTATTTGACCAAAGAAAAGGTGAAGATCCTACTTCAAAGCCTGGGTTCCAAATCTCAAACCAATCTGCCTGTAACCAAGGTCGAGATTCAAGTCGTGTCTTGCCAACGCGGCAGAAAGCCGCAGACTCACCATCGCGTGTCACGTCACACAAGATCAACGAATATCACCCACCTGCAACGGGAAACGACAAAACAGCATCAACACTGTAACTCACAACAAAACAAGAGACGTCGTCAAAGGCGGCTCTGTTCACGACGTCGACGGCGTGGGGGTTGACGAGAACGTCAGAGCCCTATAGGATGGCGTGCGCGGGGTGGGTGGGGCACGCCGCCAGGGACCATGGCACACCCTTGTCTCTGGCCGTTGAAGAGTCTCATTTTGGGAATTAAGCATTTATATCGAAGAATATCGACGTAGAACGCCGCCAATTGAAATTCCCGTCTAGTTTCGAGTGGCAAACGTCGACGTGGCCACCTTCTTCGACAGCACAAAGTATCTTGTTGATGGGCAATTATGGCGGTGTGTGTGGTGGCCACCAGGCCCTGTGATAGGCGGAGATCAGCGCCGTTGGACGTTTCCCAGAGCGGAAAACTCCTGGGACACCCTTCCGCCCAGAGGGAACAAACAACAAAACAGAAATAAACCGGTGGCTAACTCTTCTAGCGTTCGCCACAAGCGTTTCCCTCCAGGTAAGCCAGCTTGTGACTCAAGACTGTTGATCTCTACACGTGTGAAAGGCAAAGATAGTCAAAGAGCGTCGTTAGTGACCGAGTGCTAGCCGTCCCACTCCCCACGGCTTCACACCCCTCCAAGGATTCCAAACGGGAACTAGCGCAAGTTCCCATAAAGAACCCTGTCATGGGGCCGGCCGGAAGATGATGCCTGCAGATGGGGATGCGGGGCGGCGAAGAACAGATTCAACGTCGATGAAAGGGGGGTTTATTTGATGATATTTGGGGTTGAAGAAGTGGTTTGAGAGAATGAGAAGAGGAAGGGAACTGTGATTGAGCAGTCATCGGGGTGGGAGCGGCGCACTTGGTGGTGGGAGGACAGGTTGGTTGAAAAGTCGGTGGAGTTGGATGGCGGCCCAGCACTCGTGTTGGGAAGAGGATGGAGGAGGTTCGGCGAGCTTGTTACCGAGGACTATGCGTACGAAGAAGGATAAGCGGTAAATGCAATTAAGCCGTGTTCCGGGATTCTCTAGCGGCGTTGCATGTGGGCGGTGGAGAACTAAACACGGAGCGTAGCGGTGGGTACGGGCTTGCGGGCGGCGCTAACGATCGCGGTGGTGCGTGTCACTCGAGGTGAGTTGCGAAAAGCATAATTTCATGCTGGCGTGAGATACCTTAGCTCAGATGTGAGATAAGCTTGCAGGCAGTGCCATCAAGGCGCGAGGGTGAGGAGCGTTATCTCGCAGCCGGGTAAAAAGGACGACATAGCACCTGCGATTAGAAGTGAGGCAGGCCACTTGGAACCTTGTGTTGGCCTCTCTCTGCCACCGGGCAGGACGCATGCAGGCACGCAGGGTGCACTGCAGCCGTTGTTGATGGAAGAGGTGCAGCTTGGGAGATTTGACGAGCGTCGCGTCGCATCGCACCTCGAAACGGTGTGCGGCAACCAGTTGTCAGACCCGAATGTTTTACTCTGTATTACACTATTCCGTATCCCGTACGGATAAAAGGGAACGTTGATGCGGAGAGGAGAACAGGGCAGGGCAGCTGCGTGGTGCTTCCTTGCTTGTCAACAAATGCATCGACGAGGACTGGGGATGACCGAGGTCGGCGCTGGGGTCGGTTGCGCTAAGAGGGCTGCATGGTGGATGAACGGGCTCGCGACCTTGTGCTGGCCCTGGTTCGACTGCCGCTCGTCCACTATCTGTGTTGCTGTTTGCTTTATCCGTACGGAGTCGTCTTCGATCATTTTGAAGCTGGGGCCAGGCTTGACTGGGGATGGCTTCTTTTCAAGATCTGCTACGTTTTGAACCGATCGCTTCAGTCGTGAGCCATTCGCCTCGGGCGACCTGAACCTTGAGAGGTTCCACAACATCGTCAAAGCTATGGCCCTCGCACACCGCATCTTGTCAAAAACGACTGTGAGGGAGCCGCCCAAGAGTCACAGTCCTTGGAAATGGGAAATTAAGCCAGTCTGAAGGAGCGGTTCTGCTCGTCCCCAGTCATGTACGGTAGTTAAGCAGCAGAGAAGAAGTGGTGGGTGGCATAGCGCTTTAGACTCGTAAAAAGTGACAAAAATGGGATTGGTGGTTGTCAGGCGACGTGGTCTTCTTGGACGCTCCATGTGGATTCGCAACAATGGTCCGGTGTCGTCTGAAGTGCGCACATGCTGAGTCGCAGTAGCGCATAGCAAAAGTGGTTGTCGAGGTTGCTGCCCAGGTACATTTGGACGATGCAGTGGTGGCGGAGAAGAAGGAGGAGGACTGCGAAAGACGGCCAATGTGGAAACCTTGAGAGTCGACGGGAGTCGGGAAGTGCTGGTGTCTTGGTCCAATGGAGAGGCCCAATGACTAACGAACTCGCATACAAGGATGCGGCGCAACGCTAGACGATGAGAAAACTGGGGGGGACTCTACACAGTGCAGAGGAAAACCGTCCCAATCAGCCGTCCCAAGTGCGTCGGAGCCGCCAGCCAATAGCACCAGCACCCATGGCAGAATTGGGCCATGAATTGGAGAAGGGAGCAAGGAAAGTCGTGAGAAAGTGGGCAACAGCGGGCAGGGCACGGCAGGTACACGCAGGGTAGGCAATTTCGCTGCGCAGACGAAGCCGCCTTTGGTGCCTCGACAGACACTCTGGACCGGCCCAAAACTGATGATCCGTGGAGCCTTCAAGACTGTTGTCGGTCGATGCTGGTCGTGTCATGCAGTATCTTGTGTGCTTGTTGCAATCCTTGCGGTGAAATCGTTACATTCAGCCAGGGAGACTGGAAACCAGACCCGGCACTCGCGTGGGACAATCGGTAGTCGTCCGCTGGTGACGGGTTTCGGTGACGTTGACCAAAATTTGGGATGGCCATGAAGGCCGCCGCGACCTCATAGTCTACTATGAAGAGAGGAGGAGTAATGTGTACATTGGGGGCTGGTTGTTGGAGAACAAGCCAGCTTCCTTTCGGTGAAGATGAATTTCCTTTTTGAGTGAGGCTATCGTGGTTTCGAGAACTAAAAACTCATTATCCAATGTTTGGATGGAGGGTGGAGGGGTGGACACTGGAAGGGAGGGAGGTTCTATGCCAACAACTGGCGGCCGGCAATAGTATGCGGAGTTTCAATAAGGTAGGCACAGATTGCTTCGTTAGTTGCAGGCGGCAGTAGGTTTGGAAGATGCTTGGACAAGCGTGCGTGTGATGTGGTGGTGTTGGTGGTGGGTGGTGGGTGGTTAGTCGGGTTGGAGACAAGAAGGAAATGGAAAGGCGGAAAGGAAGTCGAAGCCGTCGCAAGTTGTCTAGTTCGCGCTACTTCCATCCGAGGAGCCGAAGACCGACAGCCGGACTTCTTTCCTCCACCTTGATGCATCATCGCCTTCACCTTGATCACCCGCCGTCAACTCGGAAAGAGCAAGAAAACCCACCACACACGGCACAAGACACATTCTCTCACACGACACGACAATCGACGGACGAGCTACTGCATCGACAGGGAATCGTAGCGCAACTTGTAAGCGGATATTCCTCTAGAGCCCGTGCGTTCAGCAACCCTGGCAGCAGTGAAGAGAGAAGTTGAGAAGTTGGGAACTTGAGAAGAGAAATGGAACCCAGAAAGAGAGAAAGTGAGAAAAAAAACAAAAAAAGGACGCTAAACTAGCGCAAGATCCATCCCCCGTCACCCGCATGGTCCTCAGCGGCAGCGCCACTTATGCAGATATCCCAGGCCGAATCCGCTCTCCTCCCGCATATCTGCATACCCTACGGAGTGACCTGCGGTGCAGTGCGTGGGTGTGCCCTGCGCATGAGCTGCATCGTCCAGTCCGTGCAGGCGCAGTCCATCAGTTGAAGCTTCCCCCCTCCATGGCTCCTTCCCTGTCGTCGCGCGGCCAGACTTGCTGCTTTCCTCGGATGCCGTCGGTCTGGAAACCGCAATTCCCCTGTTCACTCCACTAGGTTTTGTCTCCTTGAGCAGATAGCCCCGCCACACTGTGTCACTGTGTGTTGAAGGACGGGACGGTGTAAGTCGGTTCGTATCAGACGAGGAAAGAGAGCGAGATGGGATGGATTGAAAAAAAAAAAACACACACACACACACACACACATCTCGCTCACGCCGCCCGTCATATGCATTCCTCCCACCAAACCCAGCACTTCCCGCAACTCCCATCCCACCGTGCAACTTCTACTGCATCCGCCGGCTTCCTCTCCCGCTTGCATCCGCCAGTCTTCTTTCCTTCTAGCTCCATCTGGCACTCCGGGTTGCTGCAAGCGCTTGTTTCCACCCTCCCACCCTGGAGGACTCGGGAGAAAGCCGTTATCGTACACGGATCCACGCCCAAGAACCAATATTTACCTCCCCTCCTCTCCTGCTTCCGCTCTTCGGCAACATTCCTCTTCTTCATCCCTCGACATCAACTCTTCTGAAGACGGACGAAATATCTTCCTGTGTACCCGTCTCCTACAAGACGTCACCGCCGCCGGCCAGGACAGGAGGAAACGTGTATAAGCGTACACGCATCCCGACATTTCATTCTTCAAGTTTCCTACGTTCCAGTAGATTCTTCGTCGAGTGTTCTGTCGCATCGTAAGACTTGAACCAAGTCGAGAGACAATGGCCCTAACCATGCAGAAAAGCCTTCGCAACCCGGACGACTTTCCCACCATTCAGCTCTTCCTCCTTGGTACGTCCAACACTGCATTCCCTACCACATTCCTTAACCCGGCATTCTCTGCCTTGCCGCGTTCCAACCACACACACACACACACACACACACACACACACACACAATCACACATGCACATTCTCTCTCTCTCTCTTCTTCAACCACGCATACTAACGCCACCTTCTCAGCTATTGTTCGCCTCGCCGAACCCATCGCACTCACCTCCATCTTCCCCTACGCTTGGGCCCTCGTCAAGAGATTCGAAATCGGCAACGCTGAAGATGCATCCTTCTACGCCGGCCTCCTCATCTCCTCCTTCTCCCTCGCGGAGGCCCTGATGGGCATGTACTGGGGCGGTCTCTCTGACCGTATCGGAAGAAAACCCGTACTCCTCCTGGGATGCGTCGGCACAATGTTCAGCATGGTCATGGTCGGCTTCGCCTCCAACATCTGGATTGCTCTGGCAGGCAGAGCCATCGGCGGTCTTCTTAACGGCAACATCGGCGTCATCCAGACCATGGTTGGTGAATTGGTCACCAAGCCTGAGCATGAGCGTAAGAGCCCACTCTTCTGACAATCAAGCTGTGCATTATGCTAATCGTGTAGCCCGCGCTTTCTCTGTTATGCCCTTCGTCTGGTCCATCGGCACAATCATCGGTCCCTTCATTGGCGGTACCTTTGCCGATCCCCACGATGCGTTTCCCAGCATCTTCCCCGTCGACGGCATGTTCTACCGCTACCCGTACCTCCTGCCCAACCTCGTCTGTGCCGGTCTCCTGTTCGTCAGCATCATTCTGGGCTACTTCCTCCTGGAGGAGACTCACCCCGACATGCAACCTCGCGTTTTCATGCCCGACGACACCTACGCGTCCGAGGAAACTCCTTTGCTGGAGACTTCGGATGCCATGAAGAGACCTGCCGTCGACTTGAGAGATGACAACTACGGTACCGTCCGCGGTCGCAGCGCGCAGACCCCCGCCAAGAAGGCCGACCAGTCCTACAACATCTACACCAAGCCCATCATGTCGCTGATTCTTGCGCTCTGCATCTTCACCTACCACTCCATGACCTACGATCACCTCTTGCCCATCTTCTTCGAGGATGACCGCGCCAATGCCCCGATCACCGTTCTCACCGACGCCTCGAGCCCCTTCTACACCCCTGGCGGTTTAGGTCTCTCGCTCCGTGCCGTAGGCATGATCATGGCAGTGAACGGTGTCATTGCGCTGTTCGTGCAGGCCGTCATCTTCCCATTTGCCGCCGAGAAGTTTGGTGTCTACCGACTCTTCATCATCGTCACCGTCCTCCACCCAATCGCCTACGTCATGGTTCCGAGCCTGTTGTTCCTCCCAGAGTCGTTTGTGTATGCCGGCATCTACTTCTGCTTGGCTGTTCGCAACGTCCTCTCCATCATTTTGTACCCTCTGCTCCTGATCTTGATCAAGGAGGTTACGCCTACCCCCAAGGCCCTGGGCAAGGTCAACGGTCTCGCCGCTAGCGCCGCTGCTGGCTTCCGCATGGTCGCCCCGCCCGTTGCCGGATGGTTGTACACTTTCGGTAGCAAGGTTGATTGCACGGCTTTGGCATGGTATGGCAGTGCCGTCGTTGCAGTCATTGGTGCCATCCAGTGCTTCTCCGTGAAGCGTGAGCGCAAATACGAGGTGAGCGAGGAGGACGCCCAGCCTTGCTTGCAGAAGAAGGAGTCTCGAGTCAGCATCAGGGAGGTGTTCTCGGATGAGGAATGAATATGTTGTCAGATTAATGTGAAGAATGTGGTTCGAGGGGGGACATTTCACGAAACGGAGTTTAAAAAAGATTTCACGACCCAACCAAAGCATGAGAAAGGGCTATAGAAGGGGAGTTTGTTTGCTTTTTCGGTCGAAACAGGACAGCGTCACGGATATGGGTTTGAACTTTGGAGTTGGGATCTGATGCTAGGAGTGTCGGATAGACTAGAGACACTTTTTTGTCTTTGGCAAGCATGGAGTTTTGTTGCATTTGATTCGGCGTTGGGAGCGGCTGCTACTTGGTCATTCGCCATAACTAGTTAATCGCTCTAATAGAATTGAAGTCATACTGATGAACTTGGGTATCTGTGGTTGTGTGTGGTTTCGATGAATGATGCCCATCCCTCCTAATGAAGATATGACGTTGCATGATCGCTCAAATCAATTATTAGTTGCGATAGAACTCTGAGAGGCAGTTCTCTTGCCCTCAAGTGAGGTCCAAGAGTCAGGATTCTACGAGGTTCGTAGCTCCTCCATCAACTCCAGAATTTGCAAGACCTGCCCAATGAGAATCGCCATCGCAAAAACCACACACAAACGTCAAACTCACCTCTGAATTTTTCACTCAATCACAAGCTCACAAACGACAAGCGACAAATCTCATGTGAGACTCACCAACGTCACGTCACAACTTACAACTCACACAACCAAGACCGGCATTTTACACATTTCTTCAGACCGTTTGCGACTTAATCATTGCAGACAAACTAGAACACAAATCTACACCCGATACAGCAAACACCACCACCCACAAAAAAGCGGGGACGCATCCGCCATCCGCAAACACCATGGTCCAAATGGAAGAAATCACAGACCAAATGGCCGACGCCATGATTGCCGAAGTCCAGCGCCGCGACGCCGCCGAAGCGGCAGCGGCAGCACAATCCCATTCCGCCACCCCGGGCGCCGCCAAGGGCGCGGCCTTACCGCCCGGTCACGCTCTCCTCAGCGGCAAAACGGCCGACGAGGTCCTCGCCGACCTGAACAAGTCCCCGCTCTTCATGACCTCGCTCGAGGAAAATGACGACGTGGCCGCGCTGCAGGCGCTCGCGTACGAGGGGACGGCGAGGGAGAATGGAGAAGAATTCAAGGAGCGCGGGAACGAGTGTTTCAAGGCCAAGATGTATGCTGACGCCAAGGAGTTTTATGGGAAAGGGATTGAGATTTTGGCGGTGGAGGAGAAGAGGCGCGCGAAAGGGGAGAAGACCTTTCATACGGAGAAGGCAAAGGCCAAGGCCGAAGAGGGTGCGGCGGCAGCAGCAGCAGCAGGGGAGGAAGAGGAGAGGGACATCGAAGTCGAAGACGACGACGACGAAATCGCAAAGCAAAAGGCCGTGCTGGAATCGCTCTACGTCAACCGCGCGGCGTGCCACCTCGAGCTGGGCAACTTCCGCTCCTGCTGGACGGACTGCGGTCTCGCTCTGCGGCTGAACCCGAAGAACCTCAAAGCCTACTACCGCTCCGCGCGCGCCCTGCTGAAAGTAGACCGTATCGCCGAGGCCGACGACGCGTGCGCGAGGGGTCTGGCGCTGGATGAGGCGAATAAACCCCTGCAGGCCGTCGCGTGGGACATTATCAAGGCGGCCGAGCGCGCCGACGCCAAGACGAAGAGGGAGCAGGAGCGGAGAGCGGCTGAGAGGAGACGGGAGATGTTGTTGAAGGCTGCGCTTGCGGCGCGGGGGATCAGGCACCGTGTTACGGAGCAGCCTCCTGAGATGGAGGATGCGCGGATGAGGCTTGTGCCGGATGAGGATGATCCGAAGAGTAGTTTGAGTTTTCCGGCGGTGCTGTTGTATCCGCTGCAGATGGAGAGTGATTTTGTCAAGGCGTGGAATGAGACGGAGTGTGTGGGGGATCATTTGGGGTATATCCTGCCGCTGCCGTGGGATGAGAGGGGGGAGTATGCGAGCGCTGGTCAGGTGGAGTGTTACATGGAGACGGCGAGCGGTGGGTTGGTGAAGGTGGGCAAGAAGGCTACGCTGTTGAAGATTCTGAGTGGAGGGAATGTGGAGGTTGTGGATGGGATTGTGAGGGTGTATGTTGTTCCTGTGGCGAGGGCCAAGGGGTGGATTGAGGAGTTTAAGGTGAAGAAGGCGGCGGAGAAGAGGTAGTTGGGTATGAGAGAGAAGGGAGGCCGGCTGAACTAACTTTACTGAATGACGAATTATCTGGTTAGAGGGACGATTTCAGCATGAGTTGCTATAAATGCGAAGAAAAGAACCGTGATGATTGGGATGTTGACTATGAAATACTTTTGAATTCCACCAAACACCGGTCCCAACCCTCGAATTTTAGACATAAAGCTGGATACAAGAGCCAAGACACAAGAGACTCAGCAAGTTGATCTCTTCCATCCTCAAACATTATCTGGCCCCAAAACAGAAATACAAAGTAAGTGCGCGAGCAAAAACATGGGAATCTAGAATACGTTCAAGTCGTCCGAGTCATCCATCCTCCTCCCTTTCTATTCCGCTCAAGCCCCTCAATAATACACGCAGACGTGGCCCGCCGTCGCTTGCTTCGGTGTAAATCGGAGCTGTCCAAGTCGCTCTGGTACCCAGACTCCTTACGAGACGCCGTCTTGAGCGTCATGAGGCCCAGCGCAGCATTCTGTTCGGCAATCTCGGCGTCAGACTCTTCTTCCCTGCGCCGTTCAGACTGGAAGCTGGGCGCGGGGCTGCTGAGGCGGACGCTCTCGCCGCTGCTCTCACGACCGCCATCGCTGTCATCGTGGTCGACAGGACGCTTTTGTGACCACGGAGCACGAGGGGTTGGTGTGTGTCTGTTCAGGGGCGTGAAGCGAGGGACGGCACTGAGGTATGGATGAGGTGTATGGGCTGTGCGGTAGACCTCGTCGGCCAGGCGGTACGGCTCCGGACGGTTTGCGGCCACCCATCCAGAAGTCGGCGGCTGCGAGTGTCGTGCTGGAACCAGATGATATCCATAGCTGTAGCTGACGCCGTCTGAGCCGTTGCTAGACGCCGAGTCCGGGCACGAGCGGTTGCCGCCCTCCCCGTCAGTATCGCTATACGGGCTCATGAGGCGATTCGTGTTGAGTCGGAGTCTTCTGTCGTCACGATGAGGTCGCATGGGCTGCCGCTCCATGTTGGGCATGTGTCCGACTGCAATCGGAGGGAGAGCGTGGTGCTGTACTTTTCGTGACCGATCGGCGTCTTTGATGGCGTCTTCGACAATGCGGTGGTCGATCACCATGCGTTGATACTCTGGCGAGCCTGGCGGGACGCACATGGACGGAAATGATGGGCCGAAAATGGGAATAAGGGCTCCGGCAATGTTGTAGCAGAACGTGGCACATACTGCCTTGGCACATTCATACGGCATCCAGTATCCTGGAAAGATTAGCTTCCGAAACTCATAGTAGAGATATTTGGACCAACCTTGAGCTGCTATTGCGCCTCCAGTGATGCTGTGAGTGATGTCCTTGAGTCCAGGGTTGAGGCTCAACATCTTTGCCGGAACAGTCTATATCTGTCAGTGGAGCTCTCAACCTAGAATCAACATGGAATCCTACCTTGGAATATTTGCAACACTTGAAGAACGGAGTCATACGGACAAGACCGACGTTGTAGTCCCACATTACGGTGAAGTCGTTGTCCTCTCCCGGGACTTTGAACTCATACTTGAAAACTGGACATCTCAGTCAGCAAAGGCAGCCAGCCCATCTCGAGAACACAACCACAAACCTTCAAAACTCTCCCGCCCCGTCTTCTCGAAGAAGTCCTTCTTCCCGCTGTTGTAGGGAATATGGGCACATGACTCCTGGATACGACCAAATGGCGAGACACGAAAGCGATGGACTTCGCGGCGGGATAGGTCGTCCAAGTTTTCAAAGGGGTAGTATTTGATGACTCCGCGAGGCTTGTACTTGGACACTGGAGACGGGTCCTTGGACATCTTGACCTTCGGAACGACGGGTCGGTCAAGATACGGTGACGGAGCTCTGTCTGAGTAGCAGGTTCCCGGCGAGGACATTGCAGGACTTGGGAGAAACCGAGGGGCAGGAAGAGGCCCTGAAGGCGACGGGTTAAGAAGAGAAGATACAGAAAGCATCTTGCCGGCTGTTTGTCGGTTCAAGATGTCTCGAAGGTGGTGCTATGCTGCGATGCGGACAGGACCTGGTGAATCGGCGTAGGCGAACCTCTTCCTAAAAAGAAGGGGGGACGATGGAAGATTTAAGACAAGTCCTGCAGCAATAGCGAGACCAGGTGTAGAGGTAATGGCCAGCGGATTACCAGTAAGGTCTTTGGAAGTCGGCAAACACTTGATGTCTTCGTTCCGGGGGTTGGCGACTCAACATCCATGGGCGTGCAGCACGCTGGCAAGTTTTTCCAGGACAAGGGGGTTCGAGATTGTCGCTTTTCTTGGAGACACGGCCAATTCTGCAACGGATTCTGTACTCCAGTACGGGGCTCGGGGCTTCTCCTTGAGTTTCGGCGCTCTCGGTGCAGATTCCTTTGTTGCGGTGTCTTGGAATCGACCTCTCAGCATTGAGGTCTCCGTTTGTGACCGGCCACCGCTCTTTCTTTTGCCCTATCGAGGTGAAGCTACAAAGTGATAGATGACTGGTAAGATGGTGGAAGCCGTAGACACCGAGAGTACAGACTGAAGGCGGTCTAATATGTTTCCCCCAGAAGAGAACTCACGAGACCAAGTCTAGTAAAGCGAGGTTACTGCTGATGCTTGTGTGGTGGTCTCAAGTTACCGCATGTGTCGTCTTGATGTTGGAGAATCGGGTAAGCCAAACGGCTCCGGGGAAGCTTCCATGCAGGAGGATCCGCAAATCTGCCCAACTTGTAGAAAGCTCACAAAAGCAGCCAAGCTGTGGGCCTTTCGTATACTAACATTAGAGGTCTCTGAGCTACTGAACCGCACTGGGAAGAGGTCTGCTTGGAGGAGGCCAGAGATCGAAGCTAGTCAAGTTTCATCAGATATCACCAGCTCAAGCATTGGTCCGTAGAGAGGCTTCACAGAAGAATGTGGAGCTCATCCGCCAAAACCCTAGAGTCATTGGACAAGTTAGCAAGCGCAAATACAGCAGACGCTCCCGCAAAGACCAAACAGGTATGGGTACCGTTTTTCTGGAGGCGCACTGGGGTGGGAATTGCAGAGCGGGTTCGCGGATAGGTGCATAGAGTGCCATCTGGCCGTTGACTCTAACAGCTTGTTCGAGATGGTGGAACAAGGCTGGCCCTCCTGCAACGTTGAAGATCTCGGGGCAACGTCAACCTGACTCGGCACGCGCGGCCGCGATTTTGAAGAATAGAGGGGAATCATGAGGCATACCGAAGACATCCAGTGGCGGTTTGCCATGACTGACAGCCTTTCCAGCAGCAGTTCATCGTGAGTACTGGACGCTTTCTTTTCGAATGACACGTTATCCTATGAGCGAGCGAGCGTTTTGGCCTCTCGTCAGACCGCCAAAGCCGGATCCTCTTCTTTGTGGCGTGGCTATGTGCATATCCGTAGGCAGACCAGTGATTTGCTGAGATAATCTCAGTTTCTTCGAGAGAAGTATGATCCGTATCATGCTTTCGTGTGGCTCCTCTTGAAGGGGGTGGCTGCAGCTGTCACCAGAAAGCTCCTTGTTCCCCCACGAGCTTTCCTGCGTACAAGCACGAAGAAAATGTCCGATGGGAAGCACAAGAGTACAGCCTTTCTTGGAGTACTGCCCCTAACCTGACATAGCGGGTCCATCGGTTGAAGTTTTCCTTTCCACAGTAGACGGCGGAGAGCTTGGTTCGAACAGGTCGCCAGTCTGGCGCAACCGCCCCTGTGATATCAGTCGTGGACAAATCCGGCTTCTCTCTACACCTTTTGCCCGGTTGCTGAAGTGATGCTACGAAAGGTATTGATAACGAATCCACAGCATGTCGAGAATACGGAGAACGGCATTGGTCATAGTCGAGTCAATGGGCCCCCTGCTTAGTGCTTCGTTAATGTGGTAACTAGGCATTGACTTTCTGCGGCCTACCGTGCACCGCTACTTTCAACAAGCATTAAGTCTGGTGTGGCCGCGGCCCCCAGGCTGGGCATTCTTGCAAACGGACCAGATGATGGGCTGGACAGGTTATGGCCCCTGAAAGACAGCTCAGTCACGTCGCAAGGGTAGAAGTAGACGTGGACGGCAGCTGTTTTTCAGACCCTTGCTGCAGACTGATGAACTGATTTCTAGGCGTTTGTTCGGATGTTTCGCAGCACTAGGCGATGCCGGAAAGAGAAACGGCAACCCCGCTGGATCCTGGCGATGACGACCCCATTCCGGGCGCCATGCTCTGGATCGTGGTCTTTAGATTCGGATTCCTAGGGTTCTGAGTGGATTCCAAATCCGGCACTGTTGCGGCTCCTGAGAGAAGTGTTGCTGAAGATCCCATCGTGGTTTCAGATGGCCATTCCCGGTCTCGGTGACACTACAGTGAGTGACAGGAGAGGAGTGGCAAGGTCGCCATGCGTAGTGCGACTCAAGATTAGCAGCGGTGACGGCTTTGCGCATCGTCTTCGGGTTGTTTCGCTCTTTTGCCATGCAGAATTCGGGAGTAAGTCGTACACAGCGTAGATGGAAAGCGTGATTGTGTAGCTCGAGCGACGGGTGGACAGGTCCACCTATGCGGCGGCCAAGAGTAAGGCCATCCGTAGCTCATCAGACTATGAAGTCAACAACCAATGTTGAGAAATGCTCATTCCGTCAGAATTTTCTTCCGGTCAGAAGCTGCAGTGAAGATATGGTGTTCGGGTTCTGGGCTTGGACATGTTGAGTATTGTCGTCCCCAAATACCGAAGACCAGTTCTCTCTAGAGCAGTACGTAACGTTTTCGAGTAAGAGAAACCATTCTGAAGCCTCGAAATCCAGATGAAACCAATCGGAGTTGTAAAGGAGTCCGCGAAGCTTAAGTCGCAGGTAGCAAAGGACTGACATGTTTCTGTGATACTGGCCTGAGGAGGTGACGGCGGTCACCTCACACAGTGCGACCTGATACCTCGTGGTTCTGCGGCTCGCCCTCGATGCAAACTCGTCGTGGCCGGCGCTGCACCACTGCTGCGTTGCACGACGTCGGAAGGAGAATAAATATGTGGAGAAAGAAGACACTCTGGTGCAATGTCTGATGATATCGCCGAGAAGTCGTGAGTTGGAGAGGAGGCTGGCACAGGACGTTCTGATGTTGAGGATGATGCAGAACGAGGGGTTGTGTCACGCAACAACGGCTCGAGGACACAAGTATAGCATCCAGGCAAATGCCGTATTAGCAACTGAGTGCCTTCCGTTCTTCCCTACCTTGGCAACGTAGGTACTCTGTACTCAAAGATATTAGCTTGGCTCATCAGAAAAAAAGTAAGCGTCGACATGAGCGGCCCCCCTTCCCTGAGGTCTCGGAGACGGAGAGTGCATTAGCTAAGCACCCGGGCCCGTCTTCTTCCCCAACCGCCCAAAGAAGTAAACTTGTTGGTTGCACACCCTCTCTCATCTCCCGAACCCTCTCATGAACAGGTCCGTTCATACAGTTTCGTCGGCCCGAGTTTAATTAGTTTTGAAGCTCTTTTACCGTGCCGAAGAGGCTTTCCATTTTCGACATGATCGGCCGTCGATAGTGGTCACTCGAGAACCCCACAAAGAGCCTCCTCGACCACACTTAGAACTAAACCACCAACGTTGTTATCTGACTGGGCACCAAGTGTCATGATGAGATGAAGTGCCGGTGTTCTGTGCTCTGCTGCCTTTTCCCAACGGGATTCGTGCACGAAAGCCCTTTCCATTCCATCATCACCAGCTTAGCCCATCGTCAGGGAGAAGTCGTACGAAGCATTGCGGTGGCAATTCTAGCATGGCAGCAACGCAACTCGACATATTGGTCTTGCACGTTTCAGAACAAGACACTCGAAAGATTTCAAGACTTTCCTACAGCTCGAGCATACCATGGTGAAGATATTCTGGGGGCAGCAGCGTTGTGTTTCTGTACTTGGCATGGAGGCGCCATAGTCTACGCGTTTCGCCGGATGTGTATATGGTGTGTCTCACTACCTCAGAGGCGGACTGAATTCCACGCATCATCCCTTTATCGTGGCCAACATTCCTCCATATCCCCTCAAAAAGATGACAATGTCCTCCGAATGGGGGGAAGTGTTTGTTCGCGTCAAGTGTTGCTTTTCACAGCGGCCTTGAATTTATTGACAAAATGGGGGCCCTTCCACCCACAATGCAGCCCATGTACGCCTATCACAACCATGCCAGGGCATTACACGCGGTAACGTTTCTGCTTGTCCTTCTTTTCATAATGATCCAGGTTGCAAAAAGCCGACAGGATGCTTACGAAGTCATCGACGCCGACCCGCTCGTACCGGTGGTCAAGCCCGGCGGAAAGGAGACGTCTGTACATGGCAGCGACTACCTGAGGACATTTGCGGAGCGACACAGTCTTACACAAAACATATCTTGGTACTCTCAGAGGATCAAGGTCGTACCAGAAGCTCCTCAGAGGTTCCCAACGACAAACATCAAGCGCGCGTTTGCGGGCAAGGAGTTTCAAAACATTCGCTGGGATGACGAGAGTTTCGACATGTACCCCAAGGGCGATGCAAACGATCTTCCCGTCACCACAAGCATACTACCGGACGCTGTCGATGCTTCCGATTTGCTGTTCGGCATCTCATCGACCTACAAGCGCCTTACAAACGCCAATGACTCTCTAATCAGAGACTGGCAGCGGTGGCTTACGAACGGCCATGGCAAATCGAACGGGGCGACTATCGTCGTGACGCTGTATCGAGCCACCAGCGGAGAGGCGTGGGAAATATACGAGAAGCTGCAAAATCTCGGCATAGACGCTACAATTGTGCCGCTGGAGAAGAAACGGGACAAGGCCTCGAGATATCTGGACCTGGTCACCATTCTCATGGACGTCAACGAGGCCTTGACCGAGCAGGAACACGGCAAGAAATACTTTGGCCTCCTGGACGACGACATCTTTTTCCCCACCCCAGGACAGCTCACCCAAAAGCTCTCCAAATTTGAACCCTCGAGCCCGTACTATATTGGGCTTCCAAGCGAGCGGCCAGACTGGTCCGTAGAGAACGACACGGCAGTCACCCACGGCGGCGGCGCAATCTTCCTCACCCCGCCCGGCGCCCTCCTCGTTTCGCACCTCCCGTGCCGCCCCGACGAAGGGTTCACCGGCAACCACACTAAATGGGACAGCATCCTCCACGACTGCGTGACGACCCACACCGACCTCTCCTTCCACGTCCTCCCGAGCTTCTACTCCCCCACAGACGCCCTCTACAACATCCAAGCAGCGACCTACGACCTGGGCATCTCCCCGCTAACCCTCCGCCACTACAAGTCCCGCCACCGCTTCGACCCTAGCCAGGGCCACGCCGTGACGTCCGTCTGCGGCGAGGCCTGCTTCCTGCAGCGCTTCCGGTTTGCCGACGACTGGGTGCTCGTGAACGGGTATTCACTCACGCACTACTGCGCCGGATCCGAGGTCGTGCCTATGGAAAGCGATGCGGACCTCCAGGGGCCTATGCAATACGGTGAGGAGGCCGAGATGCCGCTGGGGGAAGGCATCGTGCTGCATGATTCTACAGAGGATAAGGAAGTCGTGACGTGGAGGGGTACGAGGAATGTATGGCTGCTGTTGGATTCTGTTATAGGGGAGGAAGGCGAGGTTTGGCAGGTGTATGTGAAGAGGCGGGGCGGTTCGGGCTTCATGGATGGAGAGGAGGAGGGTGAGGATGGGGATGGCGATCATCTTGATTCTGTTATCGTGCTCATTTGGGAATCTTGAGATTTTCATAGGACGCAAGTAAACGACAGGCGTCTAACTTCATGGGTGGGTGTACCTGATGCGATTCGCGTGTTTATGACCATGCTCTTCCTCCGTTGCTCAGTTCATATCCTCTCATCATGTGGGTATGCTGTAAGTTGTCTCTGATTTGATATTATCGCCCGCTTCGCGTAACGAGACACAAGGCTCCAGAACTTGGGCGGGCATCAATGTCCATGATAATTGAGGGTTTACGTCAGACTAAACACTGCCGCTATTGCTCTTTGTATCGATACCTCCCCACTCAAGGGCAATGTCACCTCCTCAGTATAAGATATCCCAAGGCATATATGGTGGTCCGCGCCTCGACCAAACAGAAGACACCATATGCAAAATAAAATCAAAACCAACCAATCCCAAACCTCCCTCAATCAAAATCACAACACCCTCACATCATCCTCTCCCACCTACCCCCATCCCAAACCCCCATTCACTTCCTCCACGTCTCCCCCGTAACCTCAAAAAACACCTCCCCATCCCCCTCCTTCTCACCAGGCTTCACAACCCCCTTCCACCCAAACCTCCCCTCAACCAACCCCCTCATCGGCACATTCCTCTCGCTCATCGTAGCACTCACCCTCTCAAGCTGCAGCCCGCCCTCCGCAACCCCCTTAAACCCCCACTCGACAGCCAACCGTACCGCCTCAGCCGCGAACCCCCGGCCCCGAAACGCCGAATTAATCATGACGCCCACATCCCCGACCCTCACCGTCCGCCCGTCTTCCTCCTCGTGCTCGTTGATGCCGCCGTACCCGCCGAATCCAATCACCGTCCCCTCTGGAGTGGTGTTGTCGCTGTCTTTTTGATTGTGATGATCATCATCACCAACAAAAACAACAAGCAGATTAACCCTCCCCGGCCCACTCACTACTCTCCCACTACCCTCATCAACAACACTCGGCACCCCAGCGCTCTCCCTCATCCTCGCAATCACAATCTTGGCCACCTCGGGGGAGACAGCCGACGCATGCGGATCGTACTTTGTATTCTCCGGGTCCGAGAGCACGGCCGAGACGGCGGCGAAGTCGGATGGTTCCAGGGTCCGGAGGAGAATTGGGTGGGTTGGTGAGCGGAGGGTTGTCGGGAGGTGGGATGCTTGTGTTGGTGCCATGTTTGTCGAACTAGTTGTGAGAGGATTTGGATGAGATGGAAAAATTATAGGTCCTTTGTGATTGGGGACTTGGGTTCTTCAGGTAGGATAGAGTTATGGTGATTTGTGATATCTGCTTTGGTTTGATCTTTTTGAGATGAGATGACGTTGGGGGGGGGGGGGGGGGGTTGGAGCGAATTGAGTTTCTGGTGTTGAGCTGTACGGCGTCCAACTGTGATGCGTTATGGGATGAATGTATAGTCTCTCTGTCTCTTTTCCAATAACCACTCGAGATCCCGTCCCGTAGAGCCCTCTTAAATCTTTCTTACCCATCCCATCATATCCCAACCCCTCTATCCTCCAAATCTTCTAACCCCTTTCGACAGCAATATCCCCGATACTGCAAACCCCCTGCACAATCGCAATCCTCTAAATCAACTTCCTCGTGCTGACAGTCGTCAAAAAGCGAATAAAGCCCCACTTTGCTCCCATGGGAACGTCGCAATCGGCAGCGGGCCCCAGATAGCAACCACACCAACAATAGGGTCAAGCTTCCGTCAGCCGAATTTTGGCCTCACTTCACAACCCTCGAATTGTCTAGCTTACCCCAGAAGGTTGACTCACCCCTCTCGTGACAATCTCACAGATTTACGTCTTGCGCATACTCCTCGCGCCCACAACGGAAGGATTCATATGCCGGCCCGGCCACAACCCATCCGTTTCGAGAAGGTCGGTGATAATCCGGCACGCACAACAGCCAGCTAGAGCTCGGCGGGATTACCAAATGGCTTAGAGCCGCGCTGAGGGATTTGACCTCCGTACGAAGCTTACTGGGGGCAAAGAGTCATTGTTTCCCTTTCTGGACAATGTGACTCAAATTTTTGTATTTTTTTTCATTTCGCAATGATTTCAGTTGATACGATTCAAGGCAAGTGCAAACCACGAGCCAAAGTGGTCTTGATGAATTTCGCAAATGCAGCATCTCTATATGACGTGCTTCTAAATGCGTGAAATATTATCCCTAGGGCTTTAATACACCCTATACAATGGCAGAACTCCGTCTCTTGCATCTTAATCAAAAATATGCCATCCCTATGCCTGCTTGCCATGCCGAAAATGTGTCAAATAGTTTCCATAAAGTCGTTTCGTGTCGTGTCGCCGCAAAGGATCACCACTTGTCGGGGCCGAAATGCCCTCCTTCGGGTACCGTGTTATACGAGCACGCCTGCCAGTCGCAGCCTTGCTTGTAGACTTCCGTACCCCACCATTTGAAGCCCTTCATGTGCCCGGGATAAACGAAGCCGAAGAACACCACGACGATGCCGAAGGCCAGACTCGAGTCCAACGCAGCGCTCATGGTCATGGTGTACTTGGCCCACCACGCGCTCTTTCTCCTCTTGACCAGGTAGTTGAACACATAGCAAACCACCGCCCACACCGAAAAGTTGAGTCCCGTCGCCGGTGGAATCCACGCCATGGATCCAAAAACGACCGGGAGGTTGATCTTTCGGACGATGCTATGTCTGTTCTTGCGTGCGTAGAGCCACAGGGGAATCGGTGCGATGGCTCCAATGAGGAAGCACCACACAAGTCCGCGGTACGTTGCGTTCGGTCCGAAAAACTCGCCCGGTCCAACCACACCCCACAAAATAGAGCCATTGAAGTGCACCCGCGCGATCGGACATGTGAAGCCATTAACAGCCTCTGGCGTGCAGATGCCCTTGACGTTGGCAAACATCCAGTTGAGGACGCCAATCTGGGTCAAGGATGACACAATAGTGGCCACCATTTGCACCGAAAACATGATGCGGGGCGGAATCTTCATGTAGTGGCCAAGCTTGAGATCGGAGGCAAACTTGATGCCCTGAGCTGACGAGATGTAGCCATAGGTGACAAACACCATGTTTGCGATTGGGCGACCAGGGAACACGGCGCCGCAGATGAGCTGGCAGATCAAATAGATGCTGCTGTGCTGATTGGTCACTGCCATGATGATGCCATTGGGAATGAAGAATATGGCGCAGATCCCTAGTGACATGAGCAAGCCGTACCACGGGAGGTGGATGGGGTAACTAAGTTGTCAGCCTGGGGTCGTTTCAACTTGCAGAGGGGCTCTTACTATTCAACGACAAAGATGCCCACGGCCAGCATCGTGACAAACGTTGCTAGATACCAGGAAAGGGGGGCATCCTTGTACCGCTTCATCAGTCGGCAGTGAACATCTTCTCGGAACATCATGCCCTCGAGATTGGAAGAAGATCTCGAGAGACCTCCGTTGCTGCTGTTGAAAGATCGCTGGGGCCTGATGTGCTCAGAACTGCCCGAAACAGGCTGGTAAACCGCCTGTCCTTCATTGCGAGCTTCCGCCATGGCCGTCTTCCACGTGTTCCACATGTCCTTGCCATGCCAGCAGAACGTGTGCGTCAGGAGCGCCGCCAGGGCAGCGAACTGAACTCCATAACTGAGCACATATGTGATAGGCAGGAAGACCCGGCTGTACTTGCTATACGCGTCTTTGTCGAAAAGGAACTCAGGCGTCAGGATCTTGCTCACATCGTAGACCTTGCCTTTGTTGTCGAATACCGCAGAAGACAGAATCGGCATATAGGATGAGTAGAAGACGTTGGCGTAGTAGGCGACGGGCGCAATGAGCCACATGACGATGACGAGGCCACCAATGACGTTCATTGCAGCCCAAAAGGGGACCAAAAGAGGAGACCCAATGTACGTGACCTGAGCCCAGTCAAAGGTCAAAGGAAACAATCCCAGACCAGAGACGGTGCCAAAGAGGTTGGCAACAACCACGTTTTTCGGCGCAAACCACGTAATGACGTTGAAGTAGCTGAGGCAAGGCATCAGGAGGCCGGGAAGGAAGTAAAAGACGAACCCTCCAAACCAAACCAGGTAGAAGAACTTCCACCTTGAGATCCTCCAACCGTCTGCAACCCTGTTCTCCTCCTTATGGAGCGTCCCGAACATGGCCGCGGACATCAAAGTTCCGGGCCAAATCATGCCGCTGGGTCGAACGAGAAATCGACGCGTAAGGCCGGCAAAGGCGTAACCGAGGATTTGAGTCGACAGAATCAGGAGAATTTGATAGGTTATTGTGGCTTCCTGGTGGTAAAACCTAGACTGCTCAACAATGACGTCGGTAGCAAAAGCGAACCCGAACGAGACGTTGCTGCTCACGTAGACGCAAGTATGCTCCTTCTCGTTCCACCGTCCTTGCGCAAGCCATCTGCGAAATCGGGTCAAGGACCGTTTCGCTGGCGGGCGGTTCTCGCAATCAGTCTGGAGGACACCATCCAGAAATTCCTCCGCAGGATCGCTGTGATATTTGAGGAGGTAGTCCCACATGAGACCAAGTGGATGGACGAGCAACAAGGCAATGACAGGCGTAATAGCAACACTGGGGTATCGTAGCGAGAAGAACAAGTTGGTAGAAGAACCGAGCACCGAAAACAGAAACGAGAGTGTCCACATCCTCGGGGTATTGATGGACAGGGTGATATTATCCGTCGGCGGCACCGAGGCGCGGACGACTTCGTGAGGCGAATTGTCAACCGGATCCTCGTCAGGTTCGCTGCCTGTGTAGTCGTCGTAGTCCACCTCATCCTCGGCGGCGTCTGACTTGGCATCCTCGAGCATGTTTGTCGTCACTGGAGCTTGGGTCACGCCAAAGCGCCCCTCCAGCCCGGTTGTAAGGGCAGCAGCATCCAACTCCTCGGAGAGACGAGAGCTCTCCCTTCTTGAGGCGGTAGAGAACCTCGAGGAAGCTGACCTGGTAGTATCGGAGACATATCGCATCGGATGTGCGTTTCCCGTCCTTGAATCACTTCCGGTAGGTGATACATTGCGGCTGGGGTCTTGGGAGACGGCACCGTATGACGGGGCGTCGTCGCGCGAAGAGCGCAGGAGGGAAGGTTTCGAAGGCATTGTGCCGTCGTCTAGAGGCGGGACGGGAGATTGAGGGTTCGGTTCGATCGTATCGTCACCATGTTCGCCAGCGCTGGAAGCGTGTGAAAGGGTAGAGGGTCGGCTTCGCAAAGTGGAAGGGCGAGATCGAGGGTGGCGTGCCGTGTTATATGGGTCAGAAGCGGTTTGTACGGATGACGAGGTAGTCGAGGGATTCGCAACATCAGCTTCAGCAGCGGCAGAGCTGTCGTTTGTGGGACCGTCTGCAGGTGCAAGAAGAGGCAAAGGTTCCAAAGCGAGAGCAACCGTATCGGCGTCAGGGTCGGGAGGGAAAGGTGCCTTCGGCTTGCTTTTGTGGCCGGATGCCCTTCTTTGGCTCATGGCTGCTCACCAGTCGAGTGCCAGTGGCAGTAGCCCCGGACAGGCAAGAAGAAGCAACAAGTGACGGGTCAGAAACAGAGACAACAGGGAAGCGCGAGTAGTGTGAGTGGACTGTGGACCATGGACCTTGACCGTGGGCTCTGGATGGAGGGATGGAGGGGGGGCACCGCGGCGGACTGGTCTGGAGGGAGTGGGCGTGGGCGTGGGAATGGTAGCTTGGTGGGGGTGTCTATCGTCGGGGGCGTGGACGACAGAGAGAGAGAGACTGAGAAGTGTAGGTAGTCTGTTTGTGTGCTGATTCAATGTGTGAAGTGGCCAACTGCGTTAACGGAACGGAACGGAACTTTGACTGGCCAAAGTTGGCACAACTCGGACGGGTAAATGGAAGCCTGGACGTTGACAGCAGATGGGAGGTCCTAGGTATTCCTGTGGACTGGCCTGCCTTGCCCTGCCTCGATGTTGCTCTCTGTCTCTCTCCCTTTCGTGAGCTGAGGCTTGGTACCGCGTTGTGTTTGGCAGCAGGCCGCTTGTCTCGGTTAGTAGACGAGGGAAAGCTGCTTGGTGGCCAAGAAAGGAACACTAGCGGGTTTAGAGTGGAATCAGATCGGTGGGAACCCCAAGAAAGCTGGAGCGGGAAGTTGCAACTAGGTAGGGAACCACACCGGTGTCGAATTGTTGACCCGCGGCGGTTTTGCGGATGTCTAGGGATGACGGACGTTGTGTGAATGGGCTGAAAGATGCAACGTAAGAGGTGCAGATGGGATTTCGCTGACGCGTTGAAAGCGAGAGAAAAAAAAAACGATTTACGGATTGGTGGACGAATGACAGTTGTCCGTGGGGGTTTAGCCTTGCCCAGAAAGGCCAGTGACCCGGGCGCAGCTCCAACCCATGGCCCATGGTCCCAATCCTGGCGATGCTTGTCAAGGACTCAAGGGACCCAGGATGAGGGATGAGGGATCAAGGGTGCCGCCTGTGCCCTGAATCCGATTCTTGTGCGTCTGTGTGTATGCGGAGGGATTCCCGTCATTCTCTTTCTGTGCCCGTGCTGTACGAAATGGAGCAACATTCCTGACTCGACTCCGCAGTCGGCGGTGTTTTGACCGTGAATTACTGTGACCCAATGTGAGGGAAGCATAGGTAGCAGAAAGCTTGGTAGAGCAGCAGACATGCAATCTCCTTCTCCACGGCCAAGTCTGCGGCCTGCCTACCTCATCTCATTCCAGGTCCATATGCCGCCAGCCGGCTGTCAATGTCATGTACAAAGTCAACTACCTTGCGGTGTGTTCAGCGTAGCGGATTGTGAGAAATGATGGTCATTACAAATCCAAAGACGGTGAGTGGTTCCTTGAGGAGCCGGGCTTGTGTGCAACTAAAGCAAGGCACAGCAGAAGTTCCTCCAGGCCCTGGTTTCATTGGCAGAGTTGCAGCGGTAACTTGTAAGGGTGTGCTGCTGCCGCCTTAGCGATGGGTAAGATGGGCTTTCCAAGGGGGAAATGTCGATTTGCGACGATCCCAGGCTACCGCGACTTGCAGCTCGCCTCGCACTGCAGGCTGCAGGACGACGATCCAACAAGTAACCTGGTCCAACGACACGGCATGCAGGCAGAATGGCAGCCCCAGAGGTTCAGAGGCCGCAGGACGAGGCGCAGGCGTGGCAGCTGAATGTGCAGTATCTGTGAGGGTCGAGCCAAGACCAGATCAGGATCAGAGTTGGGATTGTCGAAGCTATCGACGGCTCGGGCGGGAAGCGAAGCCCATGTCCTTGGTCCCTTGGTCTAGGACCTAGGTATCAGTAACGGTACGGATACGCCTCTCCCAATAGTAGCTCGTGGATCTATGGCGGGTAGAATGGGGGGCATCAGGCGGACACGGCGGGATGACACCACTCTAACGAGCCGATTCGCATCTGCCATGGCATGGCCTATCCAGAAGAGCATGGTACAGAGTATTTGGGCCTATTGGCGTTTGGGTAATAAGCCGATTCAAAGTAGTCGTCCTGGGCAGCCCTGTCAAATGATGGAACCTCCAAAGGCCGTGCGCAACAAGGGGATTGCGGCGTCAGCAGCGGGTAATAAACTGTAAGCAACAAGTCAACGACGGATACGGAGTACGGATCAATATTAGACAAACGTGGGGGGGCTGAATTGCTGGAAAAGGGCAAGATGAGGCGCCTCCCGTTTGAGCCCGAACGAAAAGGATGCAACGCTTCCCGAAGGACCGAAGGATAAAAAAAGACAAAGGCAAAAAGGAAGTCCGGATGGCTACGGACAAGCAGAGGCAGCCGAAGGGGGACAAGAAACAGCCCAGAACGACAAGATCAGATTAGATAATACCCAATACCTAATGCCTTGAGGTAGGCGTCCCTCAATGGAAGTTGGCAGTCGCATTCCATTCTCGTGCCGGTCCGCGCCTTCCACTGGGTGGGCAGATCAAACACAAAGAGCAAGAGCAGTGCCAAGGCCTCCTCCATGCCTTCCTTTTGCTGCTCATCTTGCTTCAGCCTTCAGCCTTCAGCGCAAGGCACCGGCAGGCACGACACCGGATCTACTGAGCTGCAGTTGCTAGTTGTGTTGCCTTTGCACCCCGGACCTGCCACGGTTTGTACGGTGTGCCGTGTACATTATGAGGTGGTCTTGCCTGCCCGGAAGGAGACGCCGATATACGGAACCAGAAAGTTCCACTCGCCGACCTCAAAACTTCAGACTTTCAGCGTCGGGTGCGTTCGCAAACTCTCGGTCAACATCCATGCACTTTCCGCTCAATACTATCTTGTTTATCAAAAAAGGACCGACCACTAGACAATCGATTAACAACGGCCCAGCTGCCCAGCGAGTTCACTGCATTAGACGAGCATCCTTACATCGAGTCTAGTCACGCTTCCTAAGGTAAGGTAGAGTACGTGGGAGCCCAAAGTCAACAAGCGCCAACGCACTTTGCGATCCGCCTTCAACCCAGGAAACCGAACGCCAAAACGATGTAGGCTTGGCCAATGGTCACACGTCCCGCCGCCGAACCACGACATTTGCACTTGCAAGTTGAACGAGATCCGTCCCCACTGCGCATGACGATACCACTTGCTGCACGCATAAACCCTATTTCGCGGCCCCGAGTTTCTTTCTCCGACTGCCAGATAGCGTGCCATTCTCAGCCTCTTTCTATTCGTGGCTCTTGTTGGACTCACTGCCCTGTCCCCGTGAAAATCGAGTCTTTTGCTTACTTCCAAGGCAGTGACACTGTGAGCTTACCTAGTGTTTCCCAGCTCACTCGAAATAAACACATCCATCGCTTGCACATGCGCATGCGCTTAGAGCGGGTATCCAATCTGTTGGCCAAATCTGCCATCACAATGCCGACATGTCAAACCCTGAACCCTGCCCACACTTCCTGCCCCCGTTTGTTTCTTTTCTTCTTTTGCTCTTTCCCGTCGCCCACAGAAGTCGGCCGGACCAACAACAACCCTACATTTACCAGCTTACACACCGACCCGGCGCGGCGGTGACTGGTCGGTGGTTTTTTAGAACCACGTCCATCGTGGAACTTGCCCAACCACGCAAGTCAGCCTCTGGAGTACATCAAGACCAGAATCACGATCCCGATGAAAACGACTCGTCCTCCGTGACACATCCGCACCTCACCACCTTGACCGCTCAGGTAGTCAAGTCGACGTGCCGGGCTGTTGCATGTCGTTGCTCAGAGTTATTACACTCTACCGTAACTCTGCCACACTTTCGTCGCCACCCAGCCTCACCTCTCGCATCACGACGCCTCATCCTTCCTCTCACCGCTTAGCACATGACGTCTGCGGTCATTACCTGCGCGACATTTTTGCATCCTAGTATTGACCCGCATGGCAGCTGTGCATGGATGCTTACTTCCTGGTATGCTTCAACGTGCGTGCGGGTACGGAATACTCTCACGACATTACGCGACAACCTTGATATGGGTTAAGTCTGTCTCTCTAAGTATGCAGACCAAGGTTCACCCGGGAGTTCGACATCATAAGCTGGCCTTCCTGCCGGGGGCTCTCGGGGCCCCATGTGGCTGGTTCATCGCTTTCCTCCGGGTCTAGGTGGCTGGGCTCCTGCGGGGCCGTCCACCGGTTGAGTCTTGACAACACCTCACGGTGGATCCAGAGCAAAGTCCCGTCTTTTCGGCGGGGCAGTAAGATTTGTTTGGTAATGCCCACCTCCGGATTGGGCAATGCAAACGTTGAAAATGGCTCGGAGTTTAACTTGCACGACGAGGGTTATTCTTGCCAGACGTCATCAGCTATACCCTTAGCCCTATAGAGTCTGTCCATTCCAATATGACCAACGAGTGAGGTTGGGAGATTGTGTGGCTTCTGATTCGCTGTATAACGCAACTTGTCAGCAGCGTTTGGCGAATCCGCTTTGACGTGTATCTGCTATTGTAGGAAAGTAAGCACTCTTAGCAAACCTCGCATCTTGAATCTCACAAGACAGTAGCTGAGTCGGGACGATTTGGCAACTGAAATAAGTCGAGTCTCTTCAACGGCGCATGGTAAAGCCCATATCAGAAGCATTTAAAGGCCTGGGTGACAATGATCTAAACCCCAAGGGCATCACTTCACAGCTTATATAGAATCAAAAGGAAGGGGGGTTTGGACAAGCAATTGCAGTCTCTTGTATTCATATTTCTGTACTCGATTGGCCACCTCTTCTAATCGTCCACTAGAATGGCAGACCTCGGTACGGTATAAGCCTCCTTGTGATAGAGACCAGAGCGAGTGAAAGGTAGGGGCTCAGCGAGTCAACCAAGTCGCGGTGCCCTGATGACTCCGTCGCACCCGTAAATCGAAGCGAACCGTGCCCCCGAAATACACATAAAATGTCGATTCCTTGCGTCGTCGGTGTTGAATCCTCGTCTCTCGATAACAGCCGTCATCAACAAGCAATGACGAGAAAAAGAAAACCATCCGCGCCTCAGCCCGCAGGTGTTGAACGTGCCAGCTAGGCTTCATCGCACATGTTCAACACCGGCACCTTAGGCCTCGATTCGGATCTTCTTTCCCAACATTGTCAGGGCAGCGACGATGACCGGAATGACGCTGACCATCTCACCCAATCCTGCATAGGCAGGAGGAATTTTGAAGTTGACGGGCTCGAATGCGCCCCCGGCAAGCAAGATCGCGAGCACGTTGTACACGGCAGACCAGACAAAGTTGAACGCCATGCGGTGAAAGCTGGCGCGGCTGACCTCAAGCACGAAGGGGATACCCTCGAGGCCTGCAAGAAGAACCACGTCTGCGGCTCCGCGGGTGACGTCGCTGGCCGAAGCTGCACTGCCCAGTTGAACGCCTACATCAGCCTGGGTGACCGCCACTGCGTCGTTAGTTCCGTCGCCGACAAACATGACGATCTTGCCCTCTGACATTAACAAGGCGACATAGTCCCGCTTCTGCGATGGAGTGCGTCGAGATGCCACGTTAGGAATGCCAACTTGGGCGGCGATAGATTCGACAGCGAGAGTTTGGTCACCAGAAACGAGGTGAACGGCGATGCTTTGGCGGGTGAGCTGAGCAATAACTTTCTTTGCTTCAGGTCGAAGACGTGTGCGCAACCCGAATATTGCAATGGGGATAGAGTCACTGGTGACAACCATGATAGTCATGTTCGCCTCTTGGAAGCGAATGACGGAGGGTAGGGCGTCGGCATCAGTCCACGAGGGGTTTCCAGCACAAACTTTGTGGCCATTGTAACTTGCTTCAACACCTGCGCCAGGGATGACTCGAGGGTCGGTAATCTTCACCTCGCGGGTTGCCCGTGAGGCAAGGTATTTTGCCAGGGCCGTAGATACGGGGTGGTTGTTGCCTGCCACAAGGGCTTTAGTGATGGCACGAGCCTCGTCATGGTCGGGATGTAGGATCTCTTCCTCGAGAACGTCGAGGTCCCCCTCAGTTATGGTTCCAGTCTTGTCGAACACCACGTCGCTGACCCTTCGAGCCCTCTCGGTACATTCGGCCGACTTGATGATGACACCTCCTCGAGCAGCAATGCCGCCAGCCACAACCAAGACCATAGGCACCGCGAGACCGAGCGCACAAGGACAGGAGACAGCGAGAACAGCAATAGCGTAGGTGATGGCGGTGGAGATCGACTTCCCAGCCGATTCGCCATGAACCTTGACACCGATGACGGTCCAGATAATAACGACAATAATGGCAACGGCCGTGACGACAGGGACGAACCACCCTGCAACACGATCTGCAATATCCTGGATCCTTGGTTTGGAGTTTGCCGCTTCTTCGACTAGCCCGGCGATATCGGTGACGGTGTTCTTTCCAGGGAGACGAGTAAGTTGAGCAACCAGAGTTCCGGATCCGTTGATGGTGCCCGCAATGACAATGTCGCGCTGTCTCTTGAAGACAGG